GCTATGCAAGCTGCTCGGAGCGCTTTTTCGCAAGCGCCCCCACCTATACCACAAACAGCTGCTCCATCCGCGCCTCCACCACCACCCCCAACATCATCCCTTCCCTCATTATCATCGGCGCGAACATCGTCCTTACTGTCGACTCCCTTCACTTCACGTCCATCCTCCTACGCAGACCAACATCAAGCACCTCAACAGCAACAGCAAACTGTCCACTCATTACTGGACCCAAGTAACTACACGCTCACAAATGGCGGTCCATCACCACGACCTAATTCCCAAGCTAATTCCACCAGAAATTCTTCTCAACGAGTTCTCATAGAGGATTCGAGATTCAAATTCCAAAACGAGTCACTATTTCCGAAACCCAGGGAGTTCCGTGGTGGCCAGAAACTGTATAGAGCTGGTAGGGGCAGTAGCGTTCCGTTGGATCTTTCGGCGCTGAGTTGAAACATACCCCTTTCAATCCTACACATATATGTACACATTCAGCTAAATTTGACTCGAGATTGTTGTTCGCCTTTCCTTTCCCCCTTTTTTTTTATGTGGTGAATACTAGCACTGGTTATGAACAGTTCAAGAGCTGGATGGATGCTCCAAAGGGAAAAACCATGGAAAGGATATGCGTCTGGAATCAGCCAATTTCATCAGACTCCGGGCTGGATCTTCCAACCTCTTTTTCCCCCATTTTGTCTGGCATCCTCTAGAATATTGCTTTGAGTCTTTGATTATGAACTTACTGGTGTATTGTTGGGAGCACTGGTAACTTCTCCATTTTCTGATTCTTTTTGTTTGGTTTTAGCTTGGTTTTAACTTGTTTTCTAGGTATGGAGGGGTTTCATTGTCTGCGTTTTTGCATATATTCTATTTCAGTTTAGGAATGTTTTAGGTAAAATATATAATTAGGGGTTCGTTATCGCGAGGAGGTCTTCAGTCCACCCGAAACACATATCCCTCCCAAGTAGGGTCGATTATTTTTTCGGCCATATTTCCTGGACACTGACCACCGACTGGAATAATGTTGCTCGTGAAACCAAACTTGACAACAATCTCTAGGTTTGAAAAACGGTGTGGGGCCCCTTACCATTCTCTATCCTCCATTATTTTGGATCTCGAGAATCTCATTTTCAGAATGCTACTAGCTTATTGTTTTCACCGGGAAGACTCTTTGTTCAGCGCAGATTGATCATTTCCTGTTGAGAATTCGGAATAAATTAATTCCATCCTCAGTTCGCCATTCCTCAACTAATGAATAAGTTAACTAGTAACGTAATTCTCCACCAAAGCGAGCACCCACTAGCTAGATTTTAACTCAAATTATCTACAACTCAACAACCACCAATTAAATCAAATTAAATGGCACTAGGTTTAGGGCATCCAGATCTTCTATGCCCATGGGAACTGCAATTGCTGCACCGTGGTGGAGCCGTGATCATACTGCAGGCTCGGGGGCTGCAGGCTCGGGGGGTTGAATGACGGGCTGTTCAACAGGCTCAGCTGCTGGAATGAGACCCTGAGCTTCATTCCTAGTTAGACCTCCTTCACATTGAGTCCTGTGTGTAGACCTTTTGCATATTTTCTTCTCTCTCTCTCATTCGCAGTAAATATATCCTTCTATTGCTTCTTCATTCTCATGGCATTGACCATCCCGTATTCGCATGCCATAATACTTTGATCAAGGCCTTCAACTAACCCATGAGGTTGACCCTGACTCATTAGATTCTTGACCTTATTCGGCTGCTTCTACAGTTGCTGTGGATTACTAGGTGTTTGAAACATTCAAGATGATGAAGAGGTGTTAGCAGGGGGTAGGGGTTTAGAGTTGAGAATATCTAGCTGCTGGATAACCCGATCAGGTTCAAATGAGGCTATTCCAGTAGTCCTAAAGCTGCTTTGAATTTCTGAGCTGTAAAGGCTTCTGTACGCACTTGCAGAAGAAACGTCTAGAAAATCTCCTTTATAATAAGATTGAATCCAAACCAAATTCACTACTCAACAAAACCTCTATATGCTCCTTTTAAAACTGCAAAAACACTCACATCTAAAAACTACAAGACATGTAATGAATGTGCTGACATGCAGAAAAAAAAAATTCTAGTCTCTTTGCAAATATGATCAAATTTGAAAGTAAGATGGCTGCCGTGTCCATCTAGAATAAAAAGTATATATATGCCAACCCTGCGTGGATCTGCACTGGAATAAACAACCTAGTAAGTCATTTGACTCCTATCTCATCCATTCAACAAGACTATACTCTTCAGCCTGAGTCAATCTCTGTGAATTTGTGTGTAAAATTCACCTATGCAGTTCAGTCGTTGAGTTTATGAATAATAATTGAGTGAGGAACCTCATATAAACACACAGCTTCAGAAACTGAGGATATTTCCTGCATTTTAACAGCATTTATCATGAGCTCAAGTCTTCCCTCCCTCTCAGGAGAATTTGAAGCCTTTTTATTGCGAATTGGTGTCATAATTGTGTGTTGAAGTGGATGAGTTAGATAATTGAAATAATTTAAATTGGCTGTTCGCTGGTGGGGAATTAACGTAGCTCCTTGGCTTGTATTATCTAATCAACAGAACTGTGCCGAGCCCGAATTGAAAAGATGAGATCAATTACTCCAAACAAAACCACATAATATCTGAGCGCGAACAATATTACCTTTTACAGACTTACCAGCGAATCTTTCTTACATAATATCTCCATATTCTTGCTACATCCTTGTTTCTGGTGGACCTTTCTCAATTGTTCCGTCATTCCCATTCAACCTCCCTAACCCGGGGGAAGTGGGAGAGGGAGAGAATCTCAGTCGACTGTTCTGCCCCGATCCTGTTCAATTTAAGAGAGACGGGGTTCCAATTTGGGTTGCTACCGAAATCATGTCTCTCCAATCCTACATAAACAGTTGATAGCCCCCCATTGATATCCGCACTCATATCCGCAATGGCTAGCTGCCAAACCTACCCTTGAAAACTAGAGCTAACGTATATACCCTCTCTACCCACAACAGAAAAGGTCCTCATCCTCACCGTAGACGGTCGCACACTTATTGGCACCCTCCTTTCCACCGATCAACTCACAAATCTCGTCCTGTCACAAACAGTGGAACGTATAATACGAACCCCCGATGACCCAGAACCCAGCTCGCAGGTCGAACATGGCCTGTATCTGATACGTGGCGATAACGTCGTCATCTGCGGAGAAGTCGATGAGGAAATTGACAGTGGCATTGACTGGTCCAAGGTTAAGGGTGAAATGGTTAAGAGCACGAAGCATATCTAAGAGTGGAGACCCCTGATTCATGCCTTTCTTTTCTTTTCTTTTCTTTTCTTTTTTTTTTTTTTTATTTAAAGTGGTGACCGCTTTTCCATTTTACCCCGCGTCCGCTGATTATACGGGGTATGCTGCGTCTATTTCACCCCTATTTTCTGGTTCCCCCAGAACAGCGCTATGGTTCTGTGTGCAGGGAGAGATGATAATACGTAGGATGACATATATTATGGAACGGGCTTGGCTTCATCACGGGGGAAACAGGAAAGCAAAGGGAGGTGTCCAAGGACAGAATCGAGGCATGGGATGCAAAAGGAAAGGTACTGTACATGGAAACGGTCTTGATTCATCAGGAGGAGAAGGGATTGAAACTTTGAACCATTATATTGTACACCCCGCCGGCAATGGTAAGAGGAAATAATTGTGTGGACAGTTTTTTCTACAACCAATTCCGGCCGATTGGGGCTCTCGAGTAACATGATCTTGATAAGGTGTGGTGAGGTGTGTATAACTGGTCGAGGGAGTCGAGTGCTTTTACCTGCAATGTGGAGGACTGGGATGAGCATGGCATAGTTTTCTTTCTCGGGTTTCTTGCTGGACTGTGTGACTGTGTGTATGTCAGCCTCGCCCGGGCACCAAGCTGGAGACAAATTTATCCCGATCCGCGCCAGCCAGCCAGCCAACCCTCTGTTCACACTAAGTATACCTCAAACCGATGAACCGGAGCACGATGCAAGTTTGAGGTTGGGTGAGTGGGTGAACGACCGCCTCAGCGAGAAGATATGTTGGCAGATAAGAAGTTATCTCTCATCAACTTGATTCTTGGGTTGGCCTGAGGTGGAGATTGTGCATAGATTTGTTTTGCTGCATTCGTATCTTATTTTTATACTGCGTACCTAGGCATGATATGCGTAACATGTTACTATGGCTCTATCGATTCACCTTTCGAAGGGAACCGCAATACACGCTCACCATCGTCTTTCATCAGAGACTTCCACTCATCTCATAAGCGCACGTATGTATATTCCATGACGTAGCATCCCAAAACAGCAACATGCTGTGTTTCCTTTCTCCATATCCAGAACAATTTCCCACGGCAATAGCTTGCAAAGTACAATATATGGCTCATATGGTTGACAGAGCAGGGGAGGGGGGGAAAGGGGGATCCTTACGTTTACTCCGTAAAACTCTCCTAGTTAGGAAATTTCAAAAGTGAAACCTCAAATTTTATCTCAAAGCCGGGGGGGGCGAGGCGTGTTATAAATAGCTGATGCTGATGATGGATAGGCAGTTGACCTTGGTAGAGGCCTTTAGACAGGACTGTCCCAGACATCAATGCAACCTGGACACTCGACATATCTGGATAATGTGCGATGTAGCGGGCGCGGTTTGGAAAGAAGCGGAACGAATTTGGCGCAAGCTGGGTTCAGAGTGTCCCATGATAATCCCAACAAACATCAATGAGATGATAGCCCACCTAAGCTGCTTAACAGCAGCGAGGGGGAGCGATGGCTAACACCACTCTTTCGAATGGCTGGTTGGGTGATCTGAAAGCCTATCTATCCCACTCCTTCAACCAAGGACACCAATACTGGAATCCAACGGCCGCGAAAACAGTATATCGCGACATGATCAGACGACGAATTCTAACGGATAGATCAATAAGCATCTTAGCACTTCTACGGACAGGAAATAGTGAGAGATTCAGGCAAACCTGGGGTCAAGATGCACTGACACTCCCTATTCTGAAGGGACCGCTGTGCCTAATGCAAGACCCTCTGAATGATCAATAAACAGAGCAGATGGTGAAGACGAGACAGTCAGGCCACCCAGCCATGCAAAAGGGTGAGCAACTGAGCTAGCATGCCCAAGGGGGAGCGGTGAGCAGCGGCTCAACTCCCTGACCAGCGCCCGGTGGGTGAAAGCACACCTCCCCCCGGGATTCAGGCTGAACGTAGAAAGCTGGCACCTATCAAGGTGTAGCCCTCTAAAAAGCACGAATCCCTAAATATAAACAACGCCTCGCTGGTATAAATAGCTGATGCAAGATTAATATCTTTCCCAAGCCGACTTAAAATAATGACAGAGGCATTGTCACAGGGTTCCTAGGCGATTATGCATGCAAGGGGGAAAAAAAATGTATCGACGAGAGGCTAGTTAAACTATATTGTCGGACCCTGTCCGTCCCGTGACCTATTCTCCACTGTCTAGTTGTTCTCGTAGCAACCTTTGCAATCAATCAAGCTTGCCATTCGGTCAGTATTAAGTATATTTATTAGTCTTGTCGATAATCTCTGTATTTATTAAGATTTTAAGATTTTATATTTATACACTTTTTATTTTGCATCATTTGTGAAGATATTATTATTAATTATTTATTAATAAAGTAGTAATAAATTTAGTTATAGCAACTATTATAGTTAATTTTATTATTTATAACAAATACAAAAGATAAAGAATTTCTCATACTTGGAGAAATTATATTTATTTTTATTTAAACTTTATTATTATACTATTTTTTTTAAAAAAATATTATTTATATTTTATGGACTTTTTAGCAGAGTTACTTTTAGCATTTTTCTCTAATTATAAAAGTTTTAAAAGCTTTTGAAAGTAATTCAATAATTATTTTCATTCGGAGAATGAAAATATAAATTACTTTGCTATTAATCTCAAAATCTAAATATTTTATAAAAATAAGAAAGAAAAGATATATGGACTAAGCTATAACCTGTCGGATGATTAATTTTTGGATTGGACGAGAGACTATATAGCTAAACTATATGCAATAGAGCGGCGGCCAGACAACAGTTAATTCATACTGTCCGTCATAAAAAAAGCAGCTGTTCCTATTCTCATCGTCATCATCATCATCATCATCATCATCAGCGATTGAGTGCGAAATACTCTTCACAGGATTGATGTCTGCATCCACCTGTCCTTCTCCACCCCCACTGGTCAGCCAATCGTACATTCAAATGAGATGAGATTTGTGTGAGAAGCGAATGTAATACGATCTGTAGGTGGAAATTCAGTCATATTGAACGTAAATCCAGCTCGGCCAGCAAATGAAATAGAGGGGGAACTGTACCTAGTACCCAATGTTTAGCTGAAATTTGAGATGGGGGGGCAACCTAACCTTGGAACTCAATGAGGGATGGATTATTGGGAACTTTGGTAATCAGAAAATATGTGTAATGCAGTGAATATTTAGATGAAAGGCGCAGTCGCCAAAGGTTCTCTCTTTATTACTCTGGCTTCCCAGTTACGCCAGGTCCATTCATGTTCGACTGATCATGCGCCTCTCTCTTGACAAAAGGTATACGGAATGGCGTGTTCGATGACAAACAGCCAAAGATAGAAAGAAACGGAAAGTGTAGTTATAGATTATATTTTCCAGTATCCGATTTATCTCAGAGCTGCGATCTAGTCGTGGAATAGAAGAATTTTAAAACGATACATCGAAGAAAGCGGTCCTATAGTTACCCCACATCAAACCCCCTCATCAGATAGAGAATAATAGGTTGGACAATGGAATGATGATACCTGGTTGATCGGATCCCCCCGAGAAGGGAGGACGTGAGGTTCGGGTAATGAAAGTTGCTGAAAAAGACTCTTGAGTTCAAGAGGAATGGTCCAGATTGCAACGTGTGGATCACCTGCATACGTCATACCGAATTCTTTTGGAAACGAATGACCGGCACAGGGGGATCAAGATACAGCGAGAATTTTAGAGAATATGTAAAAGATGTATATACACATTTTGTCCCACTGTAACCGGTATGGGAGATATAGAAATGACAAGCCACTCGACTGTGCGGAGTACGTACTCTGTAGCGAGGGAATAGACAAAACCCGGGTGACTTCTTCTCAACGGCAATTTCCCAGCTAAGATACAATTTGAGAATGATATCATGCAGTTTTATTTCCATTACGTATTCCAGACGAAGAAGCAGAAGAAGGAAAATAAGAGAAACTTAAGCCAAATTAAAATTAAAAATAAAAATCGCCTCAAAGTCAATATCATGGTGAGACTGTGATCTAGGCCAGAAACTTGGGACCTAACGTTTCACCTCGCTCTAGCCTCATTGTCTGGCATCTGCCGCAGCTTGTGAGAGCGTCAGTGCCGTGCTTTGGTTTAGAGATTGGGTGATGGACCTCGAAAGTGGGAAAAGTGGAAAAGGTGGAAAAGTGGAATAGTTAAAATGCGGGAGAGAGTTTTGGGCGCTGTTCTCTATCTCCTTGCTCCGTCTCTTCTCTTCCCTTCAGGAGAAGGTTCTGTCCCCGATAAATAATAGTTCTGTTGCCTCTTCTCGGTCTGGGTCAAAAAGTTTCTGGGTAGGATTTTCAAAGGTTGAATATTCCCCAACTTACCTGTTAAAAATTAATTTGTAAGAATATTCCTATTTACCAACTACATACACCAACACCCATTCATGTCTATTAACTCCACCTCTCTTCCCCCATCCCTGTCAACACCCTGGACCCGCCAATGGACCCCCATCTCCCTAGGTATTGTCAATTGACCGGAGGCGTCTATACTCACATCCTTAAATCTTCATCTTCGTCTTCACCTTCAGTGTTGCGCCGCCTTCACCGGTAGAAAGCCCCCCCCCCCCCCCCCTGACTGAGCATACTGGCCGCGGTAAGCAACATTATTTGCTGTGGATAAAGGATTGCTCTTATTATTATTATTATTAGGTATGCCGTTCCCACACTACTCTCCTTATTTACTACTGTGATTCATAGTCCTGGTAACCGCGTGCGACTCTGGTGGCAGGTAGTAGTCCACCCAACCCAAGTCAGTGCCTTGCCTGGTACCACCCCCCGCCTCCTCAATTCCCATATCACCTCTTCTTTCATACAACAACACCCTGGCTAATGTCAGTCGTTCCATCAGCGTCCGATTTAGGAGACGTCTCCTCCAGACCCCATGGTTACCGCTTTATACCCAGCAACGAAATATCTGACCGTATCGTAGCATCCCGCCAATGTGCTCCGTATCACAATCCGCGTCCATCCCAGATCCGTTCTACCACTTGTCAGCATTCGACCATTCCTCACATCTTTAAACCCACGGACAGACGAAAAGAGAGAAGGGGGAAGAAGAGATCAGGAGGAGAAGATCATGTGGCTGTTCAGGGGTGCCCAATCCGCTGTTTTCTACTATGCAGCCTGCACCCCCTGCGCTGCCTCAATCCATCGGAGGAGACGAAGAAAGGATGCTGCGCGAACTCATCGTGAACCTCCTCCCTCGCCAAACGGCGACATCATAACTGACCAACCCCCAATTGTCTTCCACCAACCATTCCCCTTCAGCACAAATTCATACTGGGACGAAGAGATCGGCCTGGGCCCTGGCCCTCCTGCGAAACGAGCCGGGCGCAGGAACCTTCACAATCTCAACAACACTCTCCACAACCACAATCACAACAAGGCCGGCCGTACGGGAAGCCAAAGGGGGGGGAACCTCACCCCAAAGCCAGAAGCAAAACCCAAAGCTAAAGCGAAAGCTAGCCCTCAAAATGCCCCCGGTAGTTCCTTAGCTGAGGCGGTGACGGGCGTTCTGGAGGACTTGGTACCCTCTTCAAGGAAAGATAAGGAGCCCCTCATGAACCAGCTTGGAGATCGTTGGAATCGAATACGCTACCAAAGGGAAGACGAGGTGCTATGGGGTCGCAAAGAAGTTAAGGGGTCTTCTGTCGGATTGTCTGGTCGTGGGAGAGCGGATACTGGTAATTCTACCAAGTACTACGTAGCCCGGAATCCGGACGTTAACGATTTGCACCCACCAATTGTTTGTGGGCCGACTAGCAGGGCGGAAACAAGGTGGATGTTGCAACCTCCCCCCAGCGCCAAAGTGATGGCTGGTAAAGTCCGATCAAGTCTCTCTGTTCACGATGGGCGACATGGAATCCGGGAGAAGGTCGCTGGTATTAAGTATAATTATGTAGATGGTACCTCCCCTCGAGCTGACGAAGAGGAGGAACAGGAGGATAGGGTATCGACCCCTGCTCGAAGGAGACCAAAACGGAGATCAATTGAAGCGCACCTTGACGGTACTTTCGACGGCACACAGAACTGGCCAAACCCAACCCAGCCCAATATTTCCCCAACGGCTAGAAGACGTGTCAAACCACCTCCCCTACTCGTCGCGACAGATAACTTCTATGCACTCTCGCCAACCTCCCCAGACGATGTCGTCCTCCTCCCTCCACGTCCAGTATTTGCTCCAGGAACTAGCGCTAGTTACTCCCTTGATTGTGACCGCCAAATATCCTCACCAGATGACCATAGACGAAGCCGTTCTCCATCGATCAACTCCCGTTCGAACTCACCGTCTCCGAATTATCCTCAGCACTCCCACAAACAAAATAGCGATAGTGGTAATAACAACACCTCTACACCATCCGATAAGCCCTCCCTAGAAACCTGGCATTGGCCATGGCAATCCGTCGGTGAAGAACACTCTCAATCCCGACCGGCCTCAAAGGCAACGGCTGATAGCGGGAAAGCATTCTCCATTCAACAGCAACAACATCAACAGCAGCAGCAGCAGCAGCACGATCTAAAGCTCCACACGGCTTGGCCATCTTCAACTGTCGATATCGATCTTAAACATACCGAACATGTGCGCACCGTACATGTTGAAGTCAGAAATCCCAAAACGGCTTTTTTTGATGATGATGAGACGCCACGTAGCGTTCGTCCTTGGCGATGGAGTATGGATGTCTGATTGCCATAACGTGTTTAGTGCTGTATGATGATTGTCTGATAAAATGGGGTGCTGATGAAGATTGATGAATACGAAACGTGTACATGAACATGAACACAACGACCAAATCCCATCCAGTTTTCTCACCCTGCTCCAACCACCGCCCGCCTTTCCCGTTTCTTAAATGTCATAGCCGCTAATTGTTCGGGAGGAAATATTTTTATTCTCTATTTTTTTACCTACCTGTTCCCTCTCGGGTCATGTTCACACCATCACCACCACCATACCAACTCATCAACCTATTCAATCCAGCACGGCTCTCAATCCTACAAGTTCCATTGCTGGTTGGCCATACTCACCGCATCTATTTTCACCCAGTGTTTAGAAGCAAGGACCAGAAAAAAAAAAAAAAATTCCACCTGTGGAACTGTCAGACCCTAGATCAAGATCAAGATCCTACACCGAGCCGAGTTTCTTGATACGTCAAGTCTTCAGTCTTCTATCCATCATACGTGCACTCCTCTATGCTCCCGCATTTCGACTGCACTGCACCACGAACACCTGCAGCAATCACATACCTTGCTTGGGTAGAATCCCAATGCTAGCTCTGTACAGATAGTGAATTGGAGTATACTAAAATAGAAAAATACAAAAACTTCAAAAATTAGCTTTTCCAATTTTTCTCTATCTCTCTCTTGCCTCTAGGTCATGTGACATCACAAACCTATCCCACTTAACTCCAACTCTGTGATGGTTGTAACATCAGGCACATAAGATACAGACAGACGCAAAGAAGGTTCCCCACGCCAATCATCTTCCCACGAAAACACTTTCCCCTTATATCTTATTCCTTTTTTTTAACTTCTTTTGTTAAGAATTAAAAAGTTAAAGAAAAATCAAAAGTAGTGGAAGACGGGAAGACATTAATTTACGCTTAGTTAATAATAAAAATTACTAAGAAGCCCGGTTTCCTTTTAGCACAAGGACGGGATCTCGGGACCCCGGGAAGTTTTGGATCTGAGCAAGCCACAAGGGTCCTTGAAGTTTTAATTGAGTTAAGTGTTGCTCCGCCAGATCTAGAGGAATGGATTTTCCCCACTGGCAAGGTTCCAAGGTTCTAATGTTAAAAAAGCCAAAAAAGGGCAAATCAATAAATAAACAAAGCTCGTCATGGAAAAGAATACAGTGCAAGAAATAAATTGAAGATCGCACGTTCATCTATCTCATGTTCCTTAGTTATTCACCAGCTAATACTAGCTAAATGAAGCTAGAAAAAGTGTTGAAATTCTAGATTCGAAGCAAATCCCTCATAAAAAAAAGTGTTAAGACAAATACACATATAGCGACACGAATACCACGACGAAAAGAAACGAATGATAAAATGCCTGGATAGAAATTGCTTCCAATGAGGCTGCAAACATGATGCGCAGGAATACATATTTTAAAGCAAAAACAACCCAATTAAGAAAAAAAAAAATAGATTTTTGTTACGTAGGTACGTAGAGATATGAAGGGACAAGGAAAGAGGAACAAGAGGGAAACACAACATCTCCTCGGGGGCCCTGGAACAAACCGTAAGGCGTAAGGTGAAAAGCAATGTTATGAGAAAGTAACAAGGACCGGCAGAGAAGCAGAGGCGGTATGAGGGAGGCTAAAAACTGAATGGATAGGTGGTCTGGAATATTCAAGATTCAAGAAGAAAAAAGGGAAAACGATTAACTTTATTTGAGACTTTTGCCTAAGGAAAATAGAAAACGAAAAGAGGAGAGAAAAAGAAAGGGTAAACTGCAGAGAATTTCCTGATAAATTCGAGGGAAAATGGCAAGGGTTTTTAGGGTAATGTAGAAAGTTTCCCTTTTCTGGAAATTTTGACTCGCGAACATCCTTTTCGCTAGGCTTGAAATTTGTACCTTTTGCTCCTGGTCCTCTTTCTGCACTTGAACCGCCCTGATTTTTAATTGGGCGGGGCCTCCGCGGGGGAAAGGGCATTTCATGCGAGGAAAACTGACAGAATCAAAAATTGAAGACAGATGATTCAATACACCTTCTTCTTCTCGTCTACGCTGAATTGACCCGGTCCCATGTTGACGAGGAGAAGAAGACCGCCGCTGGAAGTCATGTCAGTATAGGTTGGTGCTTCATATGCAAAGATTGTGCATATATAAAAAGCGCAGGTGGTTCCATAAAGTGAAGACGGGAAGAAACTTACACAATGGAGAGGATTTGGAAAAAGTCGTATTTAGCGAAGTCCTTGTGTGGGTGTTTGGCATGCAGCTAAGGAAAGGGAAGAAAGATCAGCTATCCACATCCCATACTGTACTTGAAACAGGTAATGTTGGGGAAAGGCTCAAATCACATACCGTCCAGAAGTTGTTGACCAGCAGGTTGAAGATGCTCAATATCACAACCAAGATGATAGCACTCCACTTCGCCTTGAATCCAACAACAACCATGAGACACGCCACCAACCCAAACAGGCTAACAAGGACTCTCCAGAAACTCCAATCGCCAGCGAATACAAATCCAATGAACAGAAAGATCAGCAACACACGTCCTGCAAACTGGATGTACATTTTCCGGTCCTTCTCGTCGATTTGTGGAAGACCAGCGGGGACAAATTTCTTGCGCACCCAGGAGTCTGAAAGCACCATAAGAAGACCTCCAATGACACTGAGGTTGCGGAGGAAGAAGGTCAGGTCGAAGATGAGGCCGTATCCAAGGGCCTGTGCGACGACAACGCTGAGGAGACCGGCGACAGCGTATTCACTATGTTTCCGTGCGATCACCAGCACCGAACATGAAACCATTGCGACGATGTTTAGGATGAGGAAGATGTGTGTTATGCCCCATGGAACTGTGAAGCATTTGATTGGTTAGAAGAAGAAGGGGGAAGGGAAAAGGTGGTATTAAGAGCCAATGGCCTCCTAAAGGGAAAGATATAGGAGGAGCTCTCCTGTATATAGAAAGGGGGTGAAACGTACTGCTCCTGAATTCTCTTAAATAGGTGAGCTGATCGCTCCATTGAGTGAAGATGCGTAAGGTATCCTCAAGGAAAGTGACGACAATCAAAAAGCGGCCGATGGCTGGTAGATATCTGTATGTCCAGGTGCATTTTAACAACATATATGATTAGCCCCTTTAATTTTTCCCCATTCAGCGCTTACTGCGGGATTGATTGGAGATTGGTAAAGAAGAAGCGGGAGGAATGGGAAAACATGGAGAAGGATGCCCATAGCGGGAGTGCAAGCGACTGGTCTGGGGTCTGGGCGAAAACATACGGTTTGACGGGGTCAGAGATCGTGTCTAGCCAATCCTCAATCTTGCTTGTTTGTTCCCGGATCGCATCGAGCGGACTTGGATCGCTGGTAGCGTCTACTCTTCCAGAGCCTCCAAAGGGATTCTGATTTCCCAGATTGTAGCCCGCTGTGCCACGGATTTGCGCCATGGTGGCCAAGAGGGCTGGCTGGGGTGGGGGGGTGGAGGAGTGAACAAGTGGCCGGAACACGGGCGCCGCAGAAGGCGGGGGGGATAATAAGAGGAGAGGATTGTTGGAGATGCAAGTATTGGCTACGGGATGGCGGGCGGAGTACGATCCAGACGATGAACGATGGGGAGGCGTATCGGGAGGGGAAGAGGACGAAGACGAGGGAGATCGCAATGGCAAAGACACGGGGCGTGAGGACACAGGGTGAGGGGGGAGCAGCAGGAGGAATTATATATAAGGCAGGGAAGGGAGCTGGTCAGCAGTCAGCGAGGAGTCAAGTACAGGCCACGATGCGGAAGGCACAGCATGCCCAGAAGCGGAATGGTTGCCAAGGAGCGCTTCGGCATTGGGCAAAGCTTAGATAATCCGGCAGTCACATGACGACGATCTCTCCGAAAGCGGATAATTTAGCGAAACGGAAAGGGCAGGCAGGCGCGATAGCTTCCCTCAGCACGCAGCGTGTTATGACTGCGCAGTATGGGACGGCAAAGGGGGGCGGGGCGGGGCGGGGCGGGGGTTCTGGAGGACATATAAGAAAAGCCAAATGAAGGGACTGCCCTTCTTTCTTGACCTCAGATTCCCAACAACCCCCCCCCCTTCCCCCCCCCCCCCCTTCCCCGGCCAAAGGGATTTAAATAGTCATGGAATAGGGACGAAAATTAGCCGGCTAGCGATATATAACTACTCTCTCTATGTAAGGCTACCCTAACTCTGGCTGTGGTAAGTAAATAACCCAGTTAGCTTTCCGGGGAGCATGAAGCGTAAATTTTGAGCAATTTCAACGCCCAAACAGGAGTCAGTCTTGGGGGTTTTCCCTCAAAAGCCGTTTCCTGACACTCGAAAAGTCTCGAGGCATCAAGCTTCCCTTCCCCTCATTTCTATCCGAGTCAACCACAGGAACCAACGGGTACCTACCAAGGAAGAGGTGGAGTCTATAAGTTATAATCCACTCATGCCCTCTGACTCCACTACAACTGCTAATAATAGCGTTCCGTGGAGATCCTAGCTGGCTAGTTTTTCGTGGCGTTGGTGTTTGGTTGAGCCGGGCATCAAGCCTTCAGCCGTCGCTTGGTGCGACGTGCCAACCAACCACACTTCAGGATAACCCGAACAAGCAGCGTTCTCAACATCCACAATTGTGGTCATTGATGTTTTTAGGGGCAGGTCTTATTCAGGTTACTGCGGACGCATACACCATCTCGCCGACAAGATATATATGTGTTTCTGAACGTTTATAGAGTTGACATGGAAGATAAAACGAGTTTGATAACGAAATGAAACTGGAGTTAACATACAAAAATGGAAATAGACGGAGAACTACAAGAACATAGAAAGAAAGGATATGAAAAAAAAAAAAAAAAAAAAAAAAAAAAAAAAAAAAAACACTCGACGAAGTTGACGCTGTTCAAGAATACACTCGGGAAAGTGCTCAAATCTCCCTCTCTCCATCTTTGCAGGTTGTTTCATAACAGGAGAGCAAAACTAAGGAGACAGGAAATATTAACTCTGACAAGCAGAGTATAGTGTGGACTTGAAGAATGAATACAACTATAATTATGATTTTGTGCTTAAATTGTACAACCTGAAAGGGGAAGGGAAGAGACGACAACATACACATAGTTAAATAACAAACATTAGAAAACTAAGCAGTACCTGAGACCACTCTTGAATATGTTGAGGTACAACACTGAAATCGAAATAGGGGTACAATCTGAACCTTTCTTCTGGCTTAAAATAGTACAATTGAAAAGGTGAGGTGGGAACAGCAGCAGACAAAGAGGGGGAAAACACAAAAAAGCAGAAAAGATAATTGTAGACAGGTATGGATGTATACAGGCTTAAGCAGCAGGAAATAAATCTAGCTTTGCTCCGATATTAGGAGAGGTCATTATCGGGAAAAAAAAAAAAAAAAAAAAAAAAAAATTGTGCTGCAGGACGAAAACGACTGGCCACTTCTCGAACATTTCGGGGAGTATTGTTAAACGGCTGCCTTCTCCGGTCTGTCGAGGGATGAATGGTCAAGTAGATGTGCGAATACGGGAGTTGTATGTTCATCATGTGGGTGAGAGCTCCTGATAGATCGTCCCAGGGTCCAGATATATATATATATATATAGCATGACAATCAATGACGAAAAGAAAAGAGAAAAGAAAGGTTTTAAAAAAAGGAAGAAAATCAAGGAATGAGAGAAATACAAGGAAAACCATACCGACCCAGGAAGCAAAAAACAAGAAAAGAAATAAGAAATACAAAAGAGCAACATGCAGTTAGAAGTGGTTAAAAGCAGAGGTTTAGAACACGACCCTAACGCCATAGCCACTGGAATAGGGGAATCAGTAGCAAAGTGCTGTGAAAAAAACACGTTCCAAGGAAAAAAAAATTTAAAAATGGGGTAATAAAGAGAACTGTAGTGCTAATGTAGACGGAGAGTATGTATGGTTTTGCGCCGCTCCGATTTTATCAAGGATCCCAATCAGAGTCCAGTGGGTGGCCTTTGCCGCTGAACGCCTCGAAATGTTCCTCAACAGCGGGGGCTGTCGCTGTCGTTGGGGCTATTGATGGCTCGGAATCTTTAGCAGCGAGGAAGTCCGAACTGCTCGCCTCACTGACGCTTTCAGGTCGCTTTGAGCCATTCTTCCGCTCCTTTTTGCGACTGGATACTGTCGTCCACTCATTTTCGCTCAGTATAATACGCATCTGCTCTTCCTCAGAAGGGAGATTATTGGTCCAGTTATCCATATAGGAGGACGGCCTCGAGTTGTCGGATGATGCTTCGAGTTTGTCCGCGGGTTGAGGGGTTGGATCGAAGGTATCCAGAAGGGCGGTGGGAGGTGGGATCGTAGGCTTGGAGATACCGTTAGTTTGGTCGTTGGTTTGGTTGCTGAGGGTACCGTTTCGCCAGGCATTCGTTGTAGGAGGTTTAGCTTTCGCAGCCTCACGTCGTTCATGTTCTCGGGCACCGTGGAGCTGTTTTTCAAGCTGAATGCGACGCTCCTTCTCTGCTTCTTGCACCATCATCTTTCTATTTTCATTCTTGAGCCTTCGTTGGCGCTGTTTCTTCGTCTCCCCAGTATCTTGCGTCTTTTGCTTTTTCTTCGGAGCCTGCTCCTGCTGAGGAGTGATTACCAAACGGAAACAGGATAGCCCGCCTGGCCCAGCCTCGAGCATATCGGAGACATCACCTGCCACTGGCCGAGCAGGGTTGACAACAGGTGAATTCATAATGGAAAGATCATCATCAGCATCTGCCCCTGTGGAGGATGAGGTACATGTGGATAGTTCGGTAGCATCCTTGTTGTCAGACTCATCTCCGCTGGCACTGATTTTCTTAGTGCGGATCTCCTTGGATTTGCTGTTGGTATGGGGGAGCTTGGCGCCCTCTTTCGCCTTAGCGAGCTGCCTTGCAAACTCCTTATTATCCATCCTCTCATCTGGGAGCTCCTCTCCTGGAGGAGCAACGACCTTTGGTTTTTCATGGACCTGCTCTAAGGGTCTTGAAGGTGGGTTAGGAGTACCACTGCTGCTGGTATTGTGCTTTGCTTTCCGCTTTGCCTTTTTGGTTGCAGACCCATTCTCGTGTCTTTCAGGGGCAGGTTTGAAAAATGCGGGCCCGGCTCTAGGTCGAGAACTGGTTCTATAGTACCAGAAGAAGCCGCTACTAACAAAGAGTAAAATAGCCCAGTTCAAAAGGGGATCCATGTTGGTTGTGCTAGTAAAACCCCAAGAACTGTCAACTTATCTAGAAACATTAACAAGGACATAAATCACGAATGGGAAAAAGACACGTACTTGTGCGGCGTTACTTTTTCTCAAAGGTAGGTAGAAGATGTTATTGAAATTTGGACAGGATAACCAGGGTCCAGACCCTGTCCAGGGTTAAACAAAATATGGAGGTATGGGTTGCTTTCTCAACGGCTTCCGCAAAGTTGACAGAAACTCTGTGGTTTAGCGTATGGAAACTGAGTTTGACAAGTCTTCTTCTGAACGAGATTTTCCAGCGGTTTTAGAGCCGATGTAGTAGCTTAACCAAGGTGACTGAGTTGCGACCGGTTCAAAAACAACACCGTCGTAAATGCTAGGAGGTGCGGAATCGAGTGGTCGAGTCTCGGCTTGAAAGTAGTTATATGTTGCGGGGAAAAGGGGCCTCAAACTCAGGACGGATGTTAAGTGGCCGCCAACGTTAAGATAAGCAAGGGGGCCAGTGTGGAGAGCAATGTCGGGACCAGCCTTTTTGGGGGCTGATGTGGTGATGATTGATTATAAGATGGGCAGGATGGAAAGTTGGGGGGAAGAGAGGAGAGGAATGGGATGGCGAGGCGGAAATGGTTAGGACTTGGTTTGTCAGGTGGGCGACATCATTGCCGACGAGATAGAGTTCAGGGCATACAAAGTCAAAACGAGCCACAACCGTGGATGAGCAGGTATAGAATAGCGTTCGATGATAGGGGAGAAGTGACGAATGGACTAAGGAAATGACCGTAAAGGAGTGACAGCAAGAGAAGAATCAGAGACCGAGCGAGATGGAGATGGCAATGAAAGAGAGCACAGATGCGGGACGTATGAAAGGTCGAAGGCGATGATGGGTTAACGGGGGCTCTGTCGATGTCTGATTAAGTAATGAGGCCAGCTTTCCACAAAACAACAACAGCACGCAGTAATGGTCGTTGGTATTACTATTGTTATTTACCGTATGTGGCGTATATTCACTGCCACTTTCACCCACCAGGACCAGGGAGTTGGAATACAGTACAGTACAGTACAGTACAGTACAGTACAGTACAGTACATACATGCACTCGGGTACATAAAGGTTCAACGTTGGGAGGCGCAGAGGAATTAAGCAACCCCGTTTGCCCCCTTTAAGACTCAGGGAGTTACAAGATATCCCATGGGCGGTTCGTACCCAGGGATCCAGGAAGGCTATGTGCAATTATCTCGATAGATGAAACTCCGCTGCGTACCGATATCACGGATTCTCGTCCCAAGGACATCCGGTTTGTCTTTTAAACTGGTTTTTAAAAGGAGAGCAGTCCAATCTGCGGATGCATAGTAATTATTTTATGTATGTGACACACTGGAATTTAACTACAGTCGAGGAACCAGGGGTGCCTCGTGTCTCTCGCGTTCTTTTTGCATTTCCCCACACTGTTGCAGCTTGCTCCGGTTGGTTCGATGTACTACAGAATTCCATTTCACAGGTCTCCGGTTGGTCTCTACGTGAGACGAAAAAGGCAAAGAACTGGGGAGAGAGCATTAAGATCTGGCCGCCGGCAGGATTCCATTATTCTGTTGATTTTCTGTATGCTGCCCAAATCCTCCTCCCGGAGCCACCCCACTCTGGGTATGTAAATACCAAGGTACATACATGGGTATCTACCTCTTTAATTGCCCCATGTATTCATCCAAACCATGGATAAAATATATCCATTTTTAACTGTTTGCAAACAGTGCTATTCTAGGTATAGTTAATCCAATCAACGGTTATAACTATTTATAATACCCTTATAAAGCATTTGGCTTTGCTTCGGTGGAATTAACGCTAATTTTACCACCTTGCCTGGTTTGGATAACTTTATTGCCTCATGGGAGGTACCAAATAACATGTGGGGAATGTTAATGTATATGAGCTGTTATAGTAGAGTATCTCCCAAGTACCTCTTGTTTCGTCTAGGTTTATTGGCAGCCGCCCAGTGCAATGAGTTGTGGAATTGCCTCCTTTGGCGCTAAACCAAAATAAGCAATGGGGCCATCTATCTTGGTAAATATGCTTTTCCATCCCAGAGAAACTTATTACACCTCACAGCCTAGCTGTACTGTAATTTACAGTGTGCCAGTCATGGCCTTACCCGGTACGCACATTGAACCCAATCTCCTGGCAAATCGAGACTCGTGGCTTTCATGTTGATCGTTTTTCCGGCTCGCTATTAATAGTGTGTAATATAACTAACTAGTTATCGAACTATATACTCTCTTGTGTTGGGTTCGCATAAATAATAACCCATATCGGTATTCCTGATATGATCATGGCACCCACGAGCAGTGTAATTATCGATACTGATCCTGTGAGATGAAAAATAGCCCCTTTGCTTCTGTGTTTGAATTCTTGCACTGTGTTGCTGTTCGAGACCCGATGTCAATGCCTGTTCAAATTGTGCTCTTCTGAACAGAGAATTTCGATCTGTATCACACAAAAGAGTAATAATCATGGCTATCCCCCATCGGAGACCAGATTTTTCGCAAGTGCCAAAGACAATAATCCCGTTCTTATTAATAATGCTCAACAGGGAGTCGATGACATCCTTGCCTTGCTGCTGGCACTGTCATCTCGATCAGATGAGATCGAGGTCCAGCTGATATCTCTGACCTTCGGGAACATCGATGTTCGTAGGTGCGTGTGCTTGCCTCCTACCTACCGACGATAGGAGGAGTATGCCGGACCATACTGCTACCCTATGCATCACTACTACTGTGGGATATATGGCACATTTGTCGATACCATACATTATTTGTCTTCATCATACTCTATACGTTCGAATGCTGATTACTTTGGCAAAATGTGATATCCGCCTCACATAGCTGTCTTCGAAATGTGGCCTCCATGTTTCATACCATCGAGAGGGAGATGAAATGGCGTCGTGAGAATGGGAAACCGGAAGGTTTCGATGCCCTGAAAGCGTATAAGCCCACAGTAGCTGTTGGGGCTGACTGTCCGCTTGACGATGAGTTGATGATGGCTGATTATTTTCGTGAGTTCTTGTCTCTTTGACGTTAGGTTGTTGTGCATTCAAGGCTGCTGCCATTCCGCTTGGGGAAAAGCGAATCATTCATTGATTGGTTGATTAGATGGACGTGATGGACTGGGTAATATTCATTTCAGCGTACAGAACCCTTCCCCCAAGACTTGCGAAACAAATTAATCATTGCTACGTATTGAGAGGTGATATCCGATGGAAAATCCCATCGAAATTCCAACAGCACCCGCATTTGACTCCGCAGCAGACATGGGAATCACTATTCTTCTCCTCCACAGAGAATAATACGGTTGCATCTCCTGCAGAATCTGCACTGGATCCTTCCCAACACTCTTTATTCATCGCTTCAACAAAACCTGCCCACCAGGAAATCCTGAGGGTCCTTAAAGAGAACGATCCGGACACGATCACGATTGTAGCCGTTGGCCCTCTTACCAACCTTGCCCTGGCCGCAGCAGAGGACCCAGAGACATTCCTACGAACAAAGGAAGTAGTGGTTATGGGAGGAACAATTGACATGCCCGGAAACGTACGTCTAAAAGACTAGGAATAGAGCAAACCTTGAACCGCCGACATCATCTCCAAAATACTTAACTCTATCCAAATCACAATAGGTAACCCCCGTCGCCGAATTCAACACATTTGCCGACGCCGCTGCCGCGGCGCGCGTATTCGCCCTGACGTCCACATCACCCCAATCAACCATGCCACCCAAAAGGCCTACATCCTCACCACACCTTCCCGACTACCCTGCCCAACTAAGCAAACAACTAACCCTCAAGCTCTTTCCGCTTGATATTACCCTCCCCCACGACGTTACCCGCGGCCAATTCCGCGCCAAAATCTCACCCATCATGGCTGCCGGCTCCCCGCTAGCCGAATGGCTCTCCATCATCCTCGCTCACAGCTTTGCCACTCTCGACGCCATGTACCCTGGCCACGATGAGGATAATGCTGCCCTGAGTCTACATGATCCGCTGTGCATTTGGTATGCGCTTACGAGAGAAGCGATTTCGATATCTACGTCTCTTTCCTCGACGGGGCAGCAACAGCAGCGTCGGGAGCCGTGCTGGCAACTAACGGCTAGTTCACCTGAGGATATACGTGTTGAGACGATGGGCCAGTGGACGCGAGGGATGTGCGTGGTTGATCGACGAAATCGAAAGAGATTTGATGATGCTGATCTTACTACGATAAGTGATCATGGACATTGGTTGAGGAATAGTGTTGGGAATCGAGTGCAGAGGATGGCAGCGTCGCCGGGCACGAAGGTCTTTTGGGAGTTTTTGTTGGATAGGATTTTTAGGTAAGAGGTTTTAGGTTTCATTTTTATATTTTTATATACTTTTCATACCTCTTGGTTGTAGATTTGAAAATGGTATGCAAGTACAGACATCCAATGAGGAGATACGGAGGAGTTGGCTGGATATATTCTACGCTTTTCTTTTGCTCAGGGTGAAAAGAGATATTCTATCGAGCGTATCATATCAACTCACCAATCTTGCCGCGAAACACAATCTCTCGCAACATAGCCATGACGCTGGAGAGGGGCACATGTCCAGTGGATACAGTTTTCTGTAATGAAAACAACTATTACACGAGCGTGGGTTCCATCAACTGGAGGAAATTGAGAGACAGGAATCTTGACCCTGTGAGTGGGATCGGACCACGTGATGAAATCTGCCTCCAACCTTGGCACCTGTAAATCGTCTCCACCGCGAGATCTTCCATTGCTTGAATTCATCAATCCCCGCAATAGAACAGAGGAATGGTTCAATATCCCAAATAATTATAGTACCCTTGGATAATGATGCCGGATGCACCAAAGAAGGAACAAAAGGAACTCAAGGAACATCAGGACATTGGATGCATACCGTAAAACCCTACACAGTGCTCTGCCAAAAACGGTATCATCTTGGTTGTCCATCTCTTGGTTCCATCCACAAACCCCGCAAAGCTAGAAACGCTCACCCAGTTTGGGGCGGAATCTTATTTATTCCCGCCAATAAAAAGCTGTGTTAGCTCCATGTGTCGGAGGAACTCTCGAACAACAGTTGAAACCCCTGGCAGATCGAAAATGCCACGGCAGCACCAGCGTCACCAATACCAGCAGCGCAAGAGACACAGGACACACTCACTCTATGATTGAGTTACTAATAACTTGACAGGCTCAAGCACGGGAATGATGCTACAGACTATCTTGGTCAATGGAGCTTGTGCAGTCGTTGCCAGCCTATCAGTTGCGGCACGAGCACGCGACACTTACTCTGATGTGGACTGCTCCCAAAAGCCCAAGGTTTGCTGCCTGGGCCATTGCACTCTCCTCTTCTTAACAGTCTCGTCCCTTGTTTTAAAGAGCAGCCCTTTTCCTCGATGATCATTTCGTTTTCCCGTGTCTTTTCTGTTTAAAAATGTCGGGGCATCGCATCCTACTGTTACTCTAGGGAATCTATTCCACCCGCGCTCTACCAGTTATTGCGTTATTTACCCCCTGAGACTAGTGATAAAACACTATTTGGACCAGCATATATTTATTCCCTTCTATACGGTCCCCTAAATTATTCTACAGTCTCGTCCTGTCTACCATTTCCTTTCCCTCCCCTCCCAATCCATTAACCATGCCAAAGCCGCGCCTCCCTCTAACCCCGGCCTCTTCTGGGGACATCGCCGCAGAGGAGAAATCCTCCAACTCTCCCGTCGAGATGTTCTTCTGCCTGCCCCCAGCCGCCCTCCCAAACAGTAGCAGTAGTAGCAATTCCAGCTCCTCCAAACGCTCAGTTCCTACTCGTCCAATGTCCCCTATCTCCCCTGACATCCAACCAGTCGAAACATCAACCCGTTCCTCTCGGACTTCACGACAGCGATCTAACACCAAGAAACGCCCTTCCGCAGCGGACTTCACTCTACCACCTCCCCCAACAAGGGCACGGAAGATTATACAGATGAAGCCCAAGACGCAAGCGGAACAAGTGACACCGCGGTGCAATGGTGCTGGTGGTTCAGAGGGTAAAGCTAAGGCGGAAAATAGTACCTTTGCTAGTAGTGGTAGTGGTGCTGGATCCAAGAAAAAGCAGGCTAGTGGAGCAACCACTGCTGCGGGACGAAAGATTGCGCGCAAGACGGCGCACAGCATGATTGAGAGAAGAAGACGATCCAAGATGAATGAAGAGTTCACGACATTGAAGAATATGATCCCGGCTTGTAGGGGCCAGGAGATGCATAAGCTGGCGATTTTGCAGGTTAGTTCTTCCTTTTAAAATTTAGTTGTAGCATTGCTGATTAGAGGAACTGCTCGATACTCCAGGCTAGCATTGATTACATGAACTACCTCGAGCAATGCATAAATGATCTCAAAGCAGCAAACAGCAACGACTGCGATGATGGAACTGAAACAGATTCTACAAACCTGTACACCCCTTCCGCGCCGTGCGGGGTTTCGACAACGAAATTCAATCGCCCAGCGAGTGTCGATCAGGATCAAGAAAGATTCTCATCCCTTTCCCCTTCTCCTTCCCCCTCCCCCTCCCAATTCCCATTCATATACGCCCACAGCCACACCAACAGCACCACAACCTCCCCGAACATCCCCCGCACCACCAGCACCACCAGCACCACCTACGAGTACGAGTACGAATACCCCTACCAATCCCCCGGCCAATTATCCACACACAACCCCTCAACAACTGCCAATCTCATCCCCATCCCCGCCCTCCATGCATCCCTCGACACCAGCACAACCTCTTCCCTCCACCCTCTCGACCCCTGCCTCCAATCCCCGCAAGCACACCGCCAACTCCAACGGCAACACTTTCCCAACCACAACCACAAATCATCCTTCACAACCCTATCTACATCAACCCTATCTACATCAACCGTATCATCCGCCCCATCAAGCACAAACACAAACGCAGTCATGGCAAGCGTAAATCCGTCCCCCGCGCTCACAGCGCGGTATGCTGCAGACGTCGAGAGAGAAGGGTATGTGGATATGGATATTGATCATGAACATGAGGCGTCGGCGGCATTGTTGATGTTGAATGTCGATCGGAGGGCGGTGGGGGTTGTGTTGGGATCTTCTTCTGGCATGACAGGGGCTGGTGGTGCTGGTGGGAACGGGGGAGATGGGCGGGTGGGTGTGGGCGTGTTTGGGATGGGAGATGGGGAGGGAGAGAAGGGGAGTGGCGTGGGGGCGGGAGAATCAAATACGAAGAAACTAGGAATGAGTGTGCAGGATTTATTGTGCAATTAGTTGTGATCTCCTCCCTGCGAGTCCTTGTCTAGCGTAACGGATCTTTCGTCTTGCTATTTCTTTGTTAGCGTCCGGGGGTTTAGCAGATAGCTTACGTGAGGTATAACGATATGACTCTACTCACCTTGAGTTCCGAAAAATGGCTACGAATAGGCAGATTAATATGAGATACATACCTGAAAACCATCATGTTTGCCTTCCGGTTAACTTTGGACGTTTTGTCCGCGCGGGCCGGCCCGTTGTGGAAGATTCAAAGGTATGAAACACATCACCGTTATACCTGTTTTCGCGAAGTATATCTTCTCACACAGGGGAAATAAGCTAGTTGTCGTGCCTTTGAAATAAGTAAACAATAAATAAAACATATATATATATATATTAGAAAGAAATGAAAGGATCGAAAATCTCCCGTGGTTTTTGGTCATTGTTGAAATTGAGGGAGGGGTGGCGGGGAGTTAAAAGAGAAAGGGAGATGAGCCTTTGAAAATTTCTTCCAAGGAGATGGTGTTCTGAAATTGACCAAAGTAGTTTCTATCTTTCATTCTTCTCTCTAAGTAAGATATAAGACGCCAGTTTTGAAAGTTCATGCGTAATTGCCTTCACATCGTCATCGTAAATATCCAGTATCATCGTTGGATCCATGTACATAGAACTACTTAGGCCCAGCCCGGCTCGTCATCATTTCAGGATGGTTGGTCCTAGCCAAATCCATGATTTTTCCATCTGGATGTCGACACCGTAACAATCATTCAAACAAGCCAAACGTGTATATATGTGCAAGCCTCCTGGGCATGTGACGGCTATTTATGGGGCACCCTATGCCTTTACGAGTGCTGCATGGACTGTGAATATGAAGACAAGGAGTGAGAGAAGAGGATAAACGTAGATAGATGAATTTCAAAGCAGCTCCTAGGAGGGAGGGAGGGAGAGAGGGAGATTAAAAGGAAATCAAATCTGACAACTGGGGTATAATAAGAATATGTGGGATGGTTGAACTTCCATTGGTGGGTGGGAGGACTGGCCAGCTAACTGATATACGCGTACATCACGTGAGGTGGTGCGGCTACCGGGCGGTCATGCCCAACAGAATTCAACTCTGTGTTTGATTTCGTGTGTTGTGCGAGCATATCATGCCTGGGGAGGAGTTTTTTCATGCTCGCTGTTCAGGTGTATTCTTTCATGATGGAGATGAGTTAAGGGATGTGATGAGCTTGTTGAGAATGATGAGGGTAATGTTGAGGGAACAATGGGTCGTTTGACTCAATCTCCACAGGGATATAACAAAGCTACTATCCCCCGAAAGGTGGGGCAATGAGACAGCCCCAGAGCGCTGGAAGAGGGCGAGGGGCAGTAAGCCCAAGTTTGATATATCGGTTAGTCTATATAGACATGTATGCAAAGTTTTAATCCAATGTTTGTGGGGGAAATGTAGACTTCGTGTTACCCAACACATCGATCGTCATTCCGAACATCATATCATGGCAGCACAGATACAAACACATGGACTCAATAATAAAACAAGCCAAAATTCCTAGATCCTACTAACAGAAAGGAGGGGGGGGGGGGCGCGCGGATGAAGGAAAATAAATCACCAATTCTTACCCTCCCCTCCCTCCTGCACCTCGCTCAACCACCTCTTAACGCCACAAATCAACCTCTCTCTCGACAGATTCAGTTCCTTCTCCAACACGGCCCCCCTCGCACTACGCCCCAACTCCAACAACTCATCATAGTCATCGCCGCCATCAGCACCTAGCGGGTTTGGTTTGGAGACATCACGCACCCTCCAACCCGCGCCAGGTTTGCCGTCCAATTCGGCCTGTAGGGCGGCCATGTTGTATTGAGTTAGTGGAGTGTTGGATTTGGGTGGACTGCCGCGGAAGAATGCCTTGCGGAATTTGCTTTCTTTGGATGGGGATGGGTTAAGGAGAAGACTTTGTTGGAGGGGCGAGGGAAGGAGAGGGGATGAGGTTCGTGGTTGGTCCGGAGTGGGTTTTCCGTTGTTGTTGTTGTTGTTGATATCACTGTGATTGCTGTGGCTGGGAAGGTTTAGTGGGATTGGAACAGTCATGGGTTGAGTGGCTGGTAGTTGGTTTTGTCGTTGCGGGTGGCCAATCGAGTTGCTGGCATCGTCGATGATATTAATGGCGGTACGGTGATCTTGTTTATCATTGCAACCAGCAGCGTGTTTTGGCGAGGGCGGATGTGAAGAGGATAACGGGGATGATGGCCCCTTTCGAGAGTGAGTGAGCTGTTTCAGTCGTTGGAAGTATTCTGCGGGTTTTCGATCGCATGAAACTCGGGAGGTTGATGTCGCTGGGGTGAGCTGGTTTGAGAGACGCGGGCAGGTGGTTGAGCCTTGATGTGGAGGTGTAGACGAGGAAGAATGAGGAGGCGGGGATGAGATGGGCGATTGCGAAGGGCTTGCAGGTTTTGAATTTGATATCTTCTTGCCCAGGAGACTGAAGAAGGACCTTTTGCGGTTCTTTCTGTTGTTCTTATCATATCCATCTCGAACACCGCCCATATCCCTGGTCTGGTTGCAGGGCGCTCTGGACGTGTACGTGGCGTAGTGCCGGGGGGTCGGAGACTTTGTGCAAATGTTTTCCATGACTAGTAAAAAGCTCCCGATAGGTACCCTAGTAGTTATCAAAATATACCCGGGTTTCTTGTCTTATCTTCGACATTCAGGCACACGAACGATGATTCTTTTCAGATTTGGAGAGGAGCAATACGGGTGGGGTTGTGAAAGAAGGTTGGCTTTCAAAGAATGTGTAGTCTTTAAATTCCCATGGCGGGTACATGCAGGTGGATGCAAGCAGGACAAGCAATTGGATATAATTCCTCGGCATCCAAAGCTTCAAGACAAAATCTCAGATTGGCATCGTACGGAAAGGATTGGTGAATCGGATGGTGGTCGACGGTTGTTTTTTTACTGCCAGACCCTGGACTGAAGACGACAGGGGGAAATATGCACCAGCCAACTCAAAGTACTGATTGTGGGTGAAGATCTCGTTACGAAATTGCTTGTAAAAGGGAAGAGGAGGGAGATGAGTCAAAAATTGGTAATGAAACCGAGGATAATAGAAAAAGGGGAGCCGACAAGAGGTTTTTGAAGTATGACAAAGTCGTTTACGCATGAATTCGTAATGAGTCTTCCATTTCTGAGTGATTGTTTAGTCATGACATTCAAGGAAAACATAAACATGAGAGGTTCAGAAACTAGAATCAGAAAATAACAAGTAAAATACGTGAAGGATAACAATGAGGAGAGAGAAGAGAAGAGCTAAAGGAGGCCTGGCTAGTTTAAGGGAAAACAAACAGACAGACAGACAGACACACACACACAGAGAGAGAGAGAGAGAGTGAGTGAGTGAGTGAGTGAGGAGGAGATTGGAGAGAGTTTGGAGGCTTGTGAAGATCGTTGCAAAAATCGCCGCTCAAGTTTCCTTCCTCTGAGCTTTTTTGTCAAGGAATGGGGCCCTATGATGGTATCACTACCGCCCATTCAGCCCCATCAATTGTGGTTCACGCTGGAAGCTAATAAGTGATCCGCACCAGCTCAACCATGATTTGTCTCTAGGAACCCGCTAGCCCCCAGTTTCGGCACCGATTATTGCCCCCCAAGCGGGGCCAACCATGAGTCTGCATGATTTCCAACTTTCAGAGGCTCATCTGATCGCATTTTGCCTCCAATGGATGATGGATCCTCGACCGCATCCGCTGTTCGCACGGGGCCCATCGAGTAATGTACACACACTTTAGGCAGTTATCCCACGGAGACTAATGTAGCAGACGAATCCAACGTCTCAACCGTCTGGCACAATGACAATCTGGAAACATCCCAGCTTCTACCCAAGTTGTTCGTGAAAGTCTTTACCCATCAAACAGCGTTCAAGGTTTCGCTGTCCGATGATGCGCAATTGCAGGTAAGAAGGGGGAGCAGGTCATTGTTGATTGATGCCTTGCAGAGCACACTTCTTCCACGGTGAAAAAGAGGCTTCTCCAGGCCTGGATTACACAGACGCATTCCAGAAGTTGATCACCGCTGCTGTCAACCATCTGGCCGCTGTTTCAAAAGGACTCAAACACACTCGCCTCGTTTACTTAGCAAATCAATAGTGCATCCAGTTACTTCGATCTCGATTCCTCAGATACAGACTCAGAATACATGGGATGTCCTTAACGCAGGTCATCGGACAATATCCCTGCGTGGGATGCTCGTCGCAGACTCTCGGTGGAAAATTCACGAGAGTTCGTATCACGGTCATTTATTGACCTTTAAAAGTAAAATAAAATATTTGTTTTTGAATTGAATTGGACTGAGAACTATGTTAAAGGGATATGAGCCACTTTCTACGGATTATGCACCCTACTCCGCCAAGATCATTTTAAAGCTGCACATCATGTCAGACATTGACGGGAGACAATAAAATTTAATGAGAGCAATGCATTCCTTTTTTAACTGGTGTTGCACAGTACAATCGAGTTCAATTCCGAAAAGGCTCAGATGGGGTTGGCTGCCGACCAGTTCCAACGTGTTTGCCCCTATGAGCGCGATGCAGGGGTAACTAGATCTCCCTTCAACCGTTGGAAGCTTGGCTGCTCCCTTCGTGTTTCTCCCCCTCGGTATAGTGAAATCATACATGTTGTGCAGTATCTTTCCTCTCGTTTCCCTGATGTTCACTGTAATGCTAACCGTATAGCACGTCCATTGACTCCCCGAGAAGCGGATAATTACTGACTAATAGTTAGTTGTTAAACCAACTAACTAGTTAGTTAGTTATTGTTTACGTGTTGCGATGACCTTGGAAACTTTCCCCACTTCCACCCGCCCCACTTAAGACATCGCCCAAGTTTCTCACAGCGGCCAACGGAAAAGCTGAATTGGTTGCAGCACACCGAAAGGATATCCAAGCGAGAAGCCATGGTACCGAACCTCTTAGCAGCTGCTTTGACTTTGGACAATATTCAATATCCTCATTATCCTCGAGGAAAAAAATGGCTCAAAGAGGTCCTTTTCAATTAGCTAATATACACCATGTCTGGCAGGTCATTTCTCATGTCTACTACTACAGAGGCCGTGGAAATGGGTTGGAAAAATAAAAAATAAAATAAAAAAAAAAAAAAAAAAAAAAAAAAAGGTGGTTAGATTGGCCGACTTTCGATCTAATTGCTGACAATTAGATATTTCGGAAATATAACCAGGATAAAAGTCGTGGAACTGGATAATTTGGCAATATACTTCGTTTTTAAGATGGACTCCCGGAACTCCGTTTTTATAACTAACGAATGCTGCATGACTACATGGATGGTTGCGTTTTGCATCATGTTAGACTTCTTGCGACTCGAGCCTCTCCTGGGTTCAGCTTTGAAAGCCGAACCGCTGCGACGTCAAGGTTAACTCTGGAGTAGCAGTCAGCCGCCTTAGCAGCAGGGCGGGACCCCAGGAAGAGGAGAACGGAGTATACCGAACATAGAATTTGTCGAGTCGCAACGATATCCTTCATACTGTGAAAACCAATTCATATATCCGTTGCAGAACTTTACCAACCCACGCCATATTCACACACAATACTTTGAGAAAGCATGCCAACCTGGGTCGTTACCGGTGTGTCTCGCGGAATAGGGGTACGCATAAACACATCTGGCATTTTTCTGAAAACGAGATATGAATGTTACTGATAGGATTTTATATTGCCTCTTACCTATCACTGCAGTTCGGATTCCTGCAGCAACTATCCGCCAACCCAGAGAACTTAGTCGTCGGACTCGTGCGCGATAAAGCTGCAACAGACGCTCGAGTGGAACAAGAGCTACAGGGGAGAAACATCCATATCTTGCAAGCTGACTTAACTGACTATGACTCCCTGAAGGTGTGCACATGTTGAAATCCAAACAAGTTGGGGCCTCTCTGCTGACACATTTGCAGCGGGCTGCGGAAGACGTTGCTCAGTTGAGCGACAGTGTTGACTATTTAATCGCGAACGCAGCCCTGACATCGCGCTGGTCGACCTTCGATGGTATCGGTGTCCTGTGCGTATCCCCTATCCCGGTTTCTTTCTTTTGAACTCCCTGCCACGGATAATGTAGTTGACGGGAGTTGGTTATAGCATGGAAGATCCAAAAAGACTGGAAGAAGACCTAATTCAGCACTTCCGAACGAATGTTGTCGGCAACATCCACTTGCTTGGGGTCTTCGTGCCTCTTTTGCTGAAAGGGTCAGCCAAGAAAGTTATCACCCTTACCACTGGAATGGCAGACAATGATTTTGTCGCTGGATATGATGTCGCGCCAGGAGCACCCAACGCCCTTACCAAGGCCGCCATGAATTCTGCGACTGCCAAATTTAGTGCACAGTATAGAAAGGATGGGATTCTGTTCATGGCTATAGCCCCCGGCATGGTTGACACCGGCGCGTTCACGGATTGTGAGAAACTTGCTTCCTCGTGTCCCCCGCGCTCCTTGGTTTGGAAAATACCTTTTTTGCTAATTCGCTTGCCGCCTAGCAACCCCCGAGGAGCTCGCTAAGTTGGGTAGCATGCTGCAAAGATTTGCGGCCTATGCGCCAAATTTCAAGGCTCTCACAGTCGACGAGTCGGTTAGTGCGATGTTGAGCGTCATCAATCGTGCGAGCATCGACAACGGATATGCTGGAGCATTCGTGTCTCATAGAGGAAATAAGCAATGGCTTTAGACGTGACAATTGTCCAATTCACAATGGTTACCGCTGATACAGAAGCTGGTTGAACCGAGCTAGTACGCAAAATACTGGGAGCATGGAGTAGAATTAACCAAATGCATGAAAGGTAGTCTTGAGCCCAATAATGATACTTTTCCATCGCTATAACACTGAAAAAGAGTTCTGAGAAAACACCTCAAGAATTATCAATAGCGAATCCCATTTCCCCAGTGTCCCTTGGAAAATATCGACCAGCATTTCCAAGTTCCATGAGTTTTACCTAATCGAAGCTCCAGTGTGAAATAGACGCCGCACGGGCATCACAATCAATATCAAGACATTCGAGCTAGAAATGATAAACCCAAGAAAGCAAACCCCCCAAGCCGGTCTAAAATGACATGGAAAAGATATCAAGGATACCAAAGTAAAACCCCCTGCAGGCACCATTTATGACTGTGTAATGTAACTTGGAGAATAGCAATACATTAATGAAGAGAAAGGATATTTCCGAGGGCGATGGGAGGGTAGGAGGATATCCAACCACTTAGTAGGTAAACCTGAAACTGGGATGGTCGTCTCCGAGGTTATCAACCTCATTCTCAGGAAGAAGCAGGAGATGATCACGGAACCCTTCATCGCGGAGGCGGTTTTCCCGATGCAAGTACAAGAAGAACGCGATGCATGTGACTGCACACACCCATACTAATGCAAGACTTGTCCTGAATCCCGTCGGGTACCTTGGGGCCTCGGACGGGAAGAAAAGGTTACTCGCAATCAGTCCGCCAGAATTCCCAAGCCCGATCTGCATCGCCGCTGATATGCCGCGCTTGTAGTGCCCACCCACGTTGTTGTTTAGCCAGGCAATTGTAATGGGGTGGGCCATAAAGGCTCCCGCGGAGATGGTCAAAACGGCAAAATAACATACACCCGGGGACACGGATTGTTGGCATAAGAGGATTATGTATCCGACGGTAGTAATAATGCATCCCAACATGGTGAACGCGAATCTATGCTTTAAGTGGTCCGAGATTATTGCTGTTAGCATTGCGCTGCAGGCGCCACAGGCAAAATATTGGGACTGCCATGAGCTGAGCGTTTAGAGCAGTCCATCCCAGTTGATTGAGGATGGTTGGGGTAAAGAAGCTGACTGCGTATCCAGTGTTGACAATGCCGATATACATCACAATTCTCTGCAAAGGGGGGGGGGGGGGGGGGGGGGGGGGCGAAGACGTTAGAGAGTGATTCCATTTGCAGTGGTAGAATTCGGATAGGCTAAAACCTTACCCCATGTAGATTTTCACATCTGTGAAGGCGCGTTTCATGGCATTCTTGTCTAGACGGTTCATTTTAGCAGTTTCAGTTTCTGTTGCTAATCGATGGAGGAGAAGCTTCCTTTCTTCCTCTGCAAGGAATTTTGCCTTTTCGGGCCACTCAGGAATGAGAAACTTCGAAAATACAGCAGCAACCACGGTTGCAACGCCTTCGAGAATAAAAATCCAGCGCCAGCCGCTGTAACCACGAGCGCCATCCATTCCGGCAATGGCATAGGCCAGAATCTGCCAATAGTTATGAGCCCCCGAACCAATTACAGACAGTTTGGAATATCTTACTCCGCTTAGCGAACCCGCCATAATGCTGCACGATATAAAAAAGTTGAGCCTTGTCTGAAGTTCATGCCGTTTATAATACATAGAGATAAGATACACACAACCTATAAAGTGTCAGATATACATGAGAAACAACCCAGTGAGTTTAGGGTCGAATACCTGGGACAAATCCTGCTTCAAAAATCCCGAGGAAGACGCGACAGACGAGCAATCCAGCAAAACTATTTGTGACTCCTTGGAAAGTCGTAACAAGCCCTGAATAATCCTTGAGCCATTGTAATGGAGACAACAAATGCGGGAGTGATCACTCACCCCATCCTAGCATAACGCTGCTAAGCCAGGTTGAAGGGGAAACATTTTTTAGAATGATATTGCTCGGGACTTCACAAAGCATGTACGGAACAAAAAATATGAACAGGGCAATGTTGAAATCATGTCCGCTCATACCAAGGTCTCTCTCTAGACCCTGGAGACGAGCATTCCCAATGTTTATGCGATCAAGGAACGCCAAACTCATGAGAAAGGCGAGGATCGGGACTACATGGAGATCGCATTTCCATACAAGTTTCTTTTCGGCTGTTCTATCTATGGATTCGACGGAATGTGTTTCCGTAATGGTAGGCGTGCTTGGTATTTCTTTGGGTGAGCCGTTCATCCTGCTGGTCGCGAAGATACCAAACTTGAAGCACGCAGAGGAAAGGGAAAAATAGATTTTGGCGTGAAGAGAGAGTGAGCGCACGAATGCAGGAAAATAGGTAAGCAGGGGGGATACGGAGGACTTAATAACTCCATATGTAAAGTCCCGTGTCACATATCAGAAGATTTTAAGATTCGGATAGACTGGTATTTTATGATCGCCAATGCAGGGATGGCATGATTGAGCATGACACAACATGAAAGATTTCCTATGCGCATCTGCAATTGACGCCATCAAGGTCATTCCCACTGATTGATATGGATTCTCAGTGCATGGGCATCCGAGCTGCAGAACTCAGGAAACATCAAAGTAAGAAAACATTGAAGGCAAAGCGTAAAAAGTACGGCAGCTCGTGATGTTTAAGCTTAACATTCCAGGGAACTAAGCATCATTAAAACCGGGGCGGGGAAGGGAAATTCAATAACCTTATCTTCAAGAACTAACGCAGCGTGGTTTGGCCGCTGATGAGGGAAAACTGAGCTAAGAATTAAAGGTTGCAGCATGGTTGGGCAGTAGTTGACCTGGGATGGTAATTTTGTAGCCGATCGTCAACTTCTCAGTGGAAAAATGTAACTGTGAAAGAGACACAAAATTGCCACACAGGAACTCTAGTAGCGAGAGGAAGGCCTAAGTGTAACATCTCACACCAGACTTCAGAAGCCCACATGAGGCCCAATCGTTGCAATACTCCCCAACCAACATCTCCCTCAGCCAATGAAATGGTGTGACTACCCGGGAGAAGATGAAGATAGTCACGCCTGGGTCTAGTCAGCCCACCTTCCAGTAGCCGTATAAGGGTCAAATATTTTGGTTTGCGGAAGCACCCAGGCACGAACAAACCCAAAGAAAAGCCAAGATAGAAAAGCAAAAATAAACGTAAAATCAAGGAGCAAGAAACAAGCGCAGAAAATATTACTTACTGCACTGCCTGCGTTCAAATATTGCCACGTCTGCCAATGTTGGCGGACTCATTCTAATAGGAATGATTGTCAATTCTGGGGTAATACAGGTGTTGTTTTTGTGGTGATACTCACGCCACACCCACCCACTAGTTGTGGGGGGCGTGGCACAAGTGAAAAAAAAAAAGCATGAGAGCTTACAGCCATAGAGTGTTCAAGATGTTACGCAGCTGAGATTAATCCTCTTTGTTCTTCTGGCCTGTTATTAGCCCGTTGCTCTGGCTTTTACTCTCACTATTCTCGCTGCTGCCATTGCTCATCCCCACCACCACAAAAAAATCTTGTGACTCAGCCGCGTTTGTGGCTTCGGGATTTCTCATACAAAGCCGGCGGAACTGCCACATCCATAGATGAGTGGCAATCATTCGATTCAGGATGAGTATGGAAAGTTAGGCAACAGGTCAATTTTAATAGTAGAAAACAATAAAAGAAACTCGATGCTGCCATGAGGTCATCTCTCTTAGCTCTCCAGGACTTCGGGAGGTACGCACATCGTCACACGCACATACTTCATATGCGTTCGCAAGTAAAAATCGTTTACGATATTGACTCTCTTGCATCGTAGATGCGTGTTCGTGGTTGAGCTTCTTGACCCGAAGGTCGACGAAGTAGTCAACTAGAGCCGTCCGGAACCCGGAACAACAGTAAAGCCGTTATACTCCGGTGCAACCCCCCTTTTTCGCACCGTCCGCTGAGATAACAGATCCTTCAATCGTGGAATAGCCTGAAGTTCCCCCGCGACATTTGTTTCTTCAGTAACAACAGTTCGAGTCTTTGAGATCATCGTGTCATAACACGGACTGAACCACTCAACACAAGGCAATTACCCTGCTGCCCCCCAAGCTTCAAACCTCACTGCCATGTCAAACAACGCGAATATCGAGCTCGCAGCAGCTGAAATCCTCTCCCAGATAAATGCGAATTTACTTCTATTGCCAATAAATATGAAATTCACCAGCTTACTTTAATGTGATATGTTTATCAGTCGACTGAGTCTGCTTTCAGAAAGACTGCGGCCTTTATTTACAAATAAAAGCTTTTGCACATACATAGTTAGCTTTTAAATTATAAATTTTCTTTTTACATTAATAACTATTTATAAAATGTTGGAGGATTCCCCGGCTACCCGAGGTCACGTGCACATATGTATTTATTAGTTGTAGCTAGCTCGCTTAGAGTCCCACAATGAAACAAGGCAGTAATCGGTCCTCTAAGATAAAATACTTATTATTAGCTATAATATTTGAACATTTAATATAATTATAAAGATAAAAATTAATAATTGATAATTTAATACTTAATATAAAAAAAATAAATCATCAATAATAAATTAATATAAATTTATATAAAATGTATTATAAAATTCAAATAATATATTTAAATAATAATAATTATTATTTTAAAATTAATGATTATATATTATATATATTAATAAGTTAAATATTTCAAATTAAATAGTAATTTTTATTATTTTTAATAGTTAATTAAATTTTTGGGTAATTAACCTGTATATATATTTAGTTTTATATTTATAAATTAGCCTAAGTTATTGGCTGCATACAAATATAAAAAGAATAACAATAATATAATAATAAATACACACACGTCTTTGAGTAATTTTCCAAAATTTAGTTTCTTTAGAAGTTTATAGCTTAAACAGTTTTCTTTTTTTTTACCTATTTCAGTTACTCAATTTAGTTGCTCAATTCAGTTATCATCTTAGTTTTTAAATTACATTTAGATTTTAATAATATCTTGTCGAGAAATCCGTGGAATTTTGTAGTAGTAAAAGAGTGCATTGATGCAGTCATGTTAGTTACATGTCACTCTGTCAACGACTCGACGCTCGACGCTCGATTGACTTGCCGTAGGAACACAGATCATACCATACCACACACCTGCAGCAACGAAGCAGCGGAAATCGTGATGAGACGAGATGACATAGTCGGAGCTGATAGGAGGGAGCATGCATCGATGGATTTACTTCTCGAACATCGCAACCTTGCCTAGCCCGGTAGAGTGATCCAGGTGTGGATGGTACACAGCCTACAACATGCTTTCGCAGCTGCAGCAACGATGATAACAGAGAATCTTTCATTTATTAGTAAAAATATGTTTAACAATGGAGAAAATCATTACTACCCGCCTTCAGAGAGATGAATAATTGGACCTTGAAGTTCCCCGATCTAAATCTCGGCACTATTATTTCTCGAACTCCATTGATACTTTCTCTGTCCAAGCACGTTTTTGAAAATCGGGATTTTCTAATCTCCAGCATCAACCAAGCAGCCATTTGAATCAACTGGCTCGGAAAACCGAACAAGATACCGACACAAATAACCACCCCAAATTATATTTGCCAGTCGATAATTGCCTTTCAATTCATCTGGGCCAGCTCCACCTCAATGCGTGGATTTTGATGTCATCTGCAGTTCACTGCCCAGTGTCCTGGTGGATCTCGGGTTATGCGCGGCGGAAGAGGCACACAGTTAACGAATAAACGTCCAGAAAACTCTTACAGAGCGGAATCTCCCCGCGCTCATGTTTCATTTTGCCATCTCATCTGAAGCGCTCTGTGGTTGAGGTGAGATTTGCAAAAATCTAACGAGTTCTTGGGGCCCCAAAGGCGAAAGGCAACAAGAGAACTGAATATTGAGCATCCTACGTAACAGACAGCGTTTCAGGCGTCAGTGTGCTGTGGGCTATCGTTTCTACAGGAGATAAAGTCTGATCTTGCTGAAACCCAACTTCCTACCGGTTAACGTGCATAGGACTTCAAGATATATCGTCTGGTTATCAGACGACTCACCTCAGTTCGTCCATTATCATCCTCGATACCTAGCACAGGTAGGACTCTCAAGAACGTTAGAGTCTTATGGCGATGGCAAATTTAGTTGGCATGGCGCTTTTGGAATGTCTCAGTTCTTACAAGAGAAGTTCAGTTTCTTTCATAACTTCTCTCATTGTTGATAGATGGAAAATAATCAAAAAAATTTCAGCTATCGTCCGGCGACTCTGCACATTACCGAACACGGGTGGCTGGATTCCCGAGCCGATGTTGATAATTGTCGAGACCACCAATCCCGACAGGATAAACCCTGCTGTCGGCACTCGCTCAAAATTGCCGGCTTCATATATGTAAACGTCAAATTTACTTCGATATCCCGCTAATTTATTGGCATTCGGACCTGAGCTGGCTTTATATTTTCGCCATAAGTACTTAGATTCGAAACGAAGCAGCAGGTAAAAATATAACTCTACATGGAACTTTTTCATCTCGAGAACTGAAAAAAGAAAAGGGGAAAGCGAACATATAGTAAAAACACAAACTGCAAACCCTTAATTCACCAGCTCAGATCCGTCAAGTAATCTCAACCCTCCCCAAAATAGCAATAGCCAACCCACCCCCTGCTTTCAACCCCGCAACCTACCTAGATATAAAGGGCAAAGTCGTCCTACTAACGGGGATCGGCCAGTCAGGCGACCAGGGCATGTAGGGGAACGGTGCTGCATCTGCCCGCGTCCTGGCTGCCAATGGAGCCAAAGTATTTGGTTGCGACCTCAATCTCGCTGCAGCTCAGCACACACAGCGCCGCGTCGACGCTGAAGGGGGTGACTGCACCGTGGTGAGCGCTGACGTCGATAAGGACGCTGATGTGAAATTCCTCATGGAAGCTTGCGTGGCGCGGTACGGCGGCCGCATCGATACCTTAATCAACAATGTTGGGAGATCAGAGCCTGGTGGGCCTGCGAAAATGTCCGAAGAGGCATGGGACAGCCAGATGGACGTTAATTTGAAATCGGTGCTCTTGAGCTATCACTACGTGTTGCCGATCATGAAGTCGCAGGAGGGCGGTGGTGCTATTGTCAATGTCTCTTCTATTGCGGGGATGCGCTATATCGGCAAGCCGCAGGTGGCGTACAGTGCGACGAAGGCTGCAGCGATACAGTTTACCAAGGTAACGGCGGTAATCTATGCGAAGAGAGGGGCCAGGCTGAATGTGGTTGTGCCCCGGTTGATCCATACACCGCTTGTGGGATTGCTTGCGGATAAATATGTTTGGGGGTGGGATTTGGAGGGATTTGTGGAGAGGAGACACAAGGCTGTGCCGATGGGGGGGATGGGGGACTCGTTTGATGTTGCGTATTCGGTTGCATTCTGGCTTCTGAACAGGCGAAGTATATCATTGGACAGAAGATCATTGTGGATTGGGGAATTACTTCATCCACTGGTTAGTTAGGATAGTTACTAGTTAACTACCAAGGTTTTTGGTTCAGTGAGCTAGACATGGTGAAGGTTACGCAACACTTTGGGGCTGACTTTATAATACATAATAATGTGTATCTGATACCTGGCAATTTTCAGGTCAGGAGATACCTCTTCTATGAGTTGGGGGGTTTGAAAACGGTAGCGGCCATATAGAAGGAGGGAAGGCTAAACATTTGTGGAATCGCGACAACATTATAGACTTATTTATAGATTGTGCGATGAGTATATCAGTTGAGATGCGAACTTCAAATCAGCTCACTCAAGAATGGGAGATTTCAGCAAGTGATATAGATGGGATGTTTCTGTAATGTAACTATGTACGGACAGTGATCTGCAGATGTTGAAGTATCTGTTGTTTAGATGAAATTGACGGACCACAAGGAGAATAAAAGAAAACGAAAAATATGAAAGGTCATTCCCGGTAGATGGATATCGCATGTACAGGCATACAATACGCACAAATCCGCACAAAATATTCAAGCACCACTGATGTCCCTATTGCAAGACTGGGTATGAGGAGTGAAAGAAAAGAAGAAATTAACAAAGGGCATTCAATGAATGTGGGCCGTAAATATAATATAACGATGTGGACAATTAAAACTACCTTCAAGCATGGTATGGCACATGGGTATTTTCTTTTAAAATAAATAAAAACATAAACCCAGATATAAAGGAATGGGAAAATAAAAGAAAGTGACAAATAACCTCACTGCTAGGAGGATGATGAATACAGGCGGAAAGCAATCGCAAAAGAGTAGAGGTTAATACCCATATGCTTTATTACATAATTATGAAACAGAAAATGAGACATTTGGCCGTTGACAAGCAACTAGAGTGCTAGAAAAGGGGGGGGGGGGGGGGCGCGGCAAAGAATAAAAGAACACAAAAAAATCAGCAAACCATCCGTCGCCAAACACAATGTACCCCATTCTATCCCGTATCTTTCCAGTAGTATGCAAACTGAAGCTTCGACGTAATGTTGTATTAATAGCAGATTCGTCGTCAAGCTTCCTAATTTAATAAAAACAACTTCGCAAAAAAGAGAAAGAAAGGAAGAAAAAAAGAAGAAAAAAAAAGAAAAAGCAAAACGCCGTTCCACTTTAGTTTTGAACAAAAGGTGATGCCGTCACGGGTCGTAAATTTTATGGTGCAATGAGGGGTCGTCGAGCCAGTCAAGTCCGTCCACACCACCACTCCCCAAGTCAAATCCACTGATTTGTTAAGGCTGCCATGTGGGATATCATATGAAGGGAAACGGGTTCCGTAACTAATGACCAATCTTCTTATGCTGGAGATGGAAGAGCAAGAGAAGGGCCATCAGTGAAGGAAGATCCCTTATTTCGAAGCTGGAGGTCTTCAGGTTTCAGAATCAAGTCCTTTCCTTTGTCCTGGCCGCGATCGCTGTCCCTCTCCTTGTCTCTCTCGGCCGACAACGTACGTTTGGTTAATGTGTGCTTAATTTGTTTGATAATTCCTCTCTGGTCTCCTCTCGATAAATCGAAACCGGGGCGTTGTGCTGGTACCTGGTCAAATTTAGTGATTTTGCAAAAGAGAGTTGAGAATAGATATTGATCACCACTTCCGTCATATAGAGGTAAATATCTGTATCCTTGTGAGAGACTGCTGAGCTTCGCAGTGAAGGTGGCAAGCTGCACACTGTTATTACCACCAAAGCTCCGTCCATCAGGAGAATTGCGGACGACCCAACGAACAAAGACGAGGTCTGGGTATTTGGTTTCTAGAGACAATTTGAATTGGTCATTGAACACAGGGTTGAAACCATTCTGCTGTTCAATTTTTGTCCGACGACGGTGCGGTTGACCAATTCCAGACACGCCGTTGCGGGCTGAAGTATCAACACCCCCTTCGCCAAATGCAAGGCCTTTCTTCTTGTCATCGGCGCAGAACAACTCGATTTCGATATACGGATTAATGCTATCTTCAGGACCCATGCCTCGCAATCTCGGGAGCTGCTGTGCGGATATGATATCCACTGTGAATCTAACCAATTTCCTGTCTACTTTTGGCTTTACATCGCCACAAAGAGCAAGAGATCTCGGAGACGACGGAGATGTTCGCAGACTGTCTGGCTTGAGAGTATAGCCGGTTTGATCGGTTCCGGCGGCAAACATTGCTTGGTTCATTTGCATACCTATATCGTACGTCTGCCAGTTCATTGCTACCATTTGCACGCCTCTCCTCCAGAAAAAATTCGGATCAAAATTTGATGAGCGGAAACGAGTATTCGCCGGATAGACACGTGTGATGAAAGATTTGGTATGCGCTTCAAGAAGTGCTTTGATCTCCGAGTCGCGAGACATTTGTTCGAAAGATCTCTCGGAGAAAGAATACACATGGTTAAACCTTTTGCTCTCTGGAGAGTTGAAGCTGTGCCATTTGTATCCACGAGTGTATACACCCAGTTCAGCAAGCTCTCGGGTGATCCGACTTTTAGGCTGCTTTCTCTTCTCTTTCCTTGTCGACATCACAAGGGGGCCAGCATCACTATCCTCGGATGCGCTACTCAAGCTTGTCGTTGTAAGTGATCGTCTTCCAGGTGTCCATGCTGTAAAGTTACCAGAATCTATTGGCTGAGTTACATGCGCAATGGGAAATGTAAAAGCACCGCTTTCCGGACCATTTGCACGAGCAAAGGGCGAGCTGGAACTGCGCTTGCGCCCAGCAATCTGAGAGTTGGAAGAGGTCAACTGCTCGTCTTCGTCTGCGGTTTTAACTTTTATCAGGATGCGATGCTTTAGGTCATCTGGGCAGGGCAATATCGGGCAATTCGTCAAAAGCGGTCGAAGAAGAAGCTTATCCCCAAACGTCTCTTTCATGATTTCCACCATCGCCAGTTGTTGAATTGGGGAACAATGGACCTCAAGTGAGAGTATCAACGGATACTCAGAAGCTTGGAATGCATATCTGTTGATGACATTAATACAGTCTGCGAATAAAACGCTGCTTGTCAATGTACGGCCGTGAGAGACGGTCGGGCGACCATCAGCGCCATCCCAGCAGTCAATCTCCACACAGCGGCAGCCATTTTGGAGGGCCGTGATGTAGGCTTCGGTGCTGGATTCGCCGGCAACTTGTCTTCCCAGTAAATACGTGTTATGCGAACTCGAGATGAAATATTCGTTGAGGGGTCTGTCAAGCTTCGGAGATGAGAATCGTGCTGGGTATATGCCATTTTTCGGGGACATTAAAAAGGCCGAAAAAGCTTCCAAGTTCATCCGAGCACTGGGAGAATTTCGTGGTTCTAGGGCACGTTGTTTGGAGCCGCGAACGAGAAATTCGAAGGTTGAAGACCAGTAGTTTCTGTTATTATCCTCCACGTTTTCGCACTGAGAATCGCGAAGGAATTCGAGAAACTCATCTAACGTTAACCCCTGAGCAGGATCTGTTGCGACAGAACGGAAAATTTCTCGGATATCCTTGCGGTCTTTCAGTCGTTGAAGGAAATCTTTAAATTGGGCGAAATTCAATCTTCCAGTTCGGTCCTTATCTGCTTTTGCGAATTGGGCCCGTAACATGTTTTTGGAGCAATTGATATGTAAGCTTTGGCAGAGGTTCTCGACGGCATTCCGATCAAGGGACTCTTCTCCTGACTCCAGAGACCGTCGAGACATTTCACGTTGCCAGTGAGCTTTCAGGACGCTCTCACTCTGACCAGAGCCGGCCAAGCCGGCCATGAGACCAATCCGGTATCTAGAGATTCCTTCTAGGGTATTCGTCCACAGTTCGAAAGTCTCTTTATTGGGAGCGATAAGATGCAGCGTTTTAATGGGCTTGCTTTTGGACTGCTCAGGGTTCGTAAAAATAATTGTGAACCATAAATCCTCCAGTCGTTCAGGTATATCATGTTCCTCCCGATAATTGCGGGCATCTAGGCCAGTGCGAATTTCTTTAATATCATCGATATAAAGTCGTTTTGCGGGATTTGACAAGTCCCAGTAAACCTTGGCAGATTGTAAATCAAGGAAAAATGTCACCATCTTCGTCTTATGCTTAGATACCTTGGTCAGAAGTGAACCGCGATGCAAAATAGAATCCAGTTTGGGTGCAACACAGCCATCATTGGCTGCAACAGCCATGCTACATCGACTGGTAGTACCATTTGTATCACAGTTACACCACGAAGCTAGATGATCGCAAGGTTCTTCCTCTTCTTCATAGCTCGAATCCAAGCCACTATCCTTAGATGCTGTCGTTCCAGTTTTACTGTCATTTCTCCTCTGCATAATCACAGGACCAGAGCTATTGTCTCGCTTATCATAGCGGGATGTAGATTGTCTTCGACGAGTTAGCTTATTCGCAGCTCCTCTGGATATCCTCCGCATCAGCCCAGGAGTTTTGCTGGAGGTAGTGTTGTTTGCGGCGGCGCTATCTGTACCAAGTGGAGTAGCATTAAAGGGTTGTGAAGGAAAGGCCACAGCACCTTCCGGCAGTTCGAGGGGAACGGGAGATCCGAGCGTCATTACAGGATTCACAGTATTGCGAAATGCCGTATCATGCGCGGAGTCGGTGAAACCGGTAGGAGAAAAAGGAGTAGGGCTGGGGAAATTAGAAAAATAGGTCGGGAGACTAGATGAATCTGTTGATACCCCTGAAGGTTCAAATCCGGAGGTAGGAGGGGCAGAAGCGCTGAGTGTAGAAGAGAACCCATTTTGGAAAGGAATTCTGCGCGGAACATGTAGAGGGGATCTTGATTGGGAATGAGTGTTGTCCTTGAAGATAGAGGGGGAGGCCCACCCGCTAGCCGCCATTCCAGAGGAGTGATGATGTAAGAGCGGAGGTCAAATGCAAGTGGTCAACGGGGACTAACGGATGAGCAGTTGATATTCAAGGTGCGTCAAACTTCTAACCGCCAGTGGAGGGCTGTAGGAGGCAAATAATTGGGTGTTGAACCGTATGGAAAAAGGTCAGGGAGGCAGTCCGTGCTTATCTTTTCCGTTCTCGTTTTCCGAACAAACCAGGAGCGGTTGGATAGGCTGGTTTGTACAGAAGGTTGCGACTGAGCGTTGGGTAGCAAAGGGGTCTCTACCACGTTTGCCGGTATTTTGATACGTGCATATTGACCTGCAATACAATGCGTTCAAGCCCTTCCAGAGAGTTTTGTGAATAGGTTGATGCCTACCACTCGGGTCCGGCGGAACGACACCCTCCAAGCCAGCCCACCCTTCACACCTTTTCTTGTTTTGGTGAAAAGGTGACAAAAGTGTTTGTGTCCTTTGTCGCCCAACGTATCCTCCTGCAGACGAACCAGAAAATTTGCTTTGTGTTTCCCCTCTTGTCCCTGCGAAGTATTCTCTGTCTTTTTCAACAGAAATAAAATATGTTGGGTTCTTTTTGGTGGTTGTGGTAATGGGTGAACCGGACGCAACAAGGAATCCAACCGAGTTTGCAGGTCACAACAGGAACGATATACTTTGTGGCTGAGAAATGAGTTTCTTGTTGCGAATTTATGTTACTAATAACAAAAATGGGAGAAGAGGGAGAAGAAGAAGAAGAAGAAGAAGAAGAAGAAAAAGAAGAGAGGGAATAATAAAGTGTTGATGGTAATTGGAGAGGGTGTAGTAGATAGTGAAATGGAGGCGCTTACCTCCCCCTTTATCTAGTTTCCCTGGCAAACCCCGTGGATCAACGACTCTGGAGTGAATTTCGGCCAGCTGCAAGGCAGGTAGGTCCCTGTCGAACTCGATCCGCAGAGGAGTAGCTTGCTGAGGGTGCGCCAACAATTGCAGCGCGAAAGGAGGTGGCCAGGGAAAGGTGTGTCGAACGAGCAGCTGGCGCAACTTCTTCACGAATGATTGTGGCGCCCAATGCAGGTGAGTCGTCGACCGGGGGGGATGTCTACCGACGGGTTAAGCGAGTTAGAAGTTTCGACGATCACGGCGACAAGGCACTGGGAGGATGTTTCGCTGCAGGGTCGGAGGGTTGAAGTATGCGAAGGCGGCAAGGCAAAGGATGCCACGGGAGGCAGAGTAAGGAGCGATGGGGAGGTGCAGGACACGGAAGTACCTATAGTAATTTGACTGTATCTTGGGTCAAGCAGGAGACACAGCATGAAGAAGACGAAGAAGAATACGAAAAAGAAAAAAGGAGGAGGAGGAGGAGGAGGAGGAGGAGGAGGAGGAGGAAAACCGGACAGGTTTCAAGGTGGGATTGACTTCTTTGGTTTGATGGGATCAGGGATTAAATTAATGATTTGGGATTCCCCCAGTCAACCAACTCCTACGTCGACGTGCATAAAAGTGTGAAGTCCATCATCCAGTTTTATTGATGGACCGGTAGTTACGGAGTACCATATCTACCTGTAAGGTATCCACGATGCTGCGACAATGGTATCGTACCGTACCATATCGATACGGCCCACCGAGAGATGGTGTGTATTGTGTATTGATCGGTTCGTACCCGTACGGTATTATATGTTTCCATATTCTACGGATCTCTGTTCGTATGACTAATGAATGACATGCTATTAACTTAAGTTACCTAGTTAGTTAGTTATTAATTATTTTATCAATTTTATTTATTCCTGCAGCGTATCCATCTCTTCACGTCTTCGTCCGCCCAAGCAGAGGAAATAATATCAAATCTACCTGCTGGAAAGACATGGGTTTTCTGCTGCATAATATTGTTGTGCTCCAGCTGCCTTGTGAACACTTACACACAGTCGGCCTATCATCTGGCCTTCTTTACATGCTAGTAGTTAGTTAACTAACTAGTTAACTAATTAATGTAGTTACGGATCCAAAAGTTAGGTCAACTCCGTTGTTTCATGTGTCCCCCATTTGCATGTACCCTTACCGACTTGAGACCTCGTAATCTCGCTCTGTTTTCAAAACACCTTTCATCATGGACATTTTGCCTCTCAGAAAGAGTTGGGAGGGGTTGGGAAGACAAAGGGTTCGGTCGACGCCATAATAATCCCCCAATCATTGAGCGGAGAACGTGCTCCTATTGTCTTAACTACCTTGGCTCCCAGGTTGACCTTGATTCAGGCACTTTGCCCGCCCGACAAGCAGCGGCTGTCTTAAAACTCAACTCAAAAGAATATAAGCCAGACAAAAAAAAAAAAAAAAAAAACAAAAAAGGGTATGGAGGGATTTTGTGTGTATTATTTATCCGTATTATTTATTACTCCTGTTCTTTGCATGATGATCATTAGACTTCCGGAAACACAAAATGGCGGTGGAGTCTGTTCCTAAGCAAAACGTCAGCTGGGGCTTGAGAAGGACGCCTAAAGAAGCTTCTCCAGGTTGGAAAGGAACATCATCTAGATAGAATCGATATCCCCACAACAAAATACTGGTTGTTCCAGCCTAGTTTACCAACTTCGGCTTGAATACGGGCACAAAGGAAGCGGTAGCTAAACTTTTTAACTTTTGGCGACGCTCGCCTCGAGGTGATAAGATAGATTAGGCCTAAAGCCCAAAAAGTTTTTTTCTTTCTTTCTTTTTAAAATTATTTTTCGTTCATTCAGTCATTGTTTTTTCCAGCCTTACGAGATCAATGTCGTTTTCTGATGCTCCCCGAAAATAATGGTAGGCGCTTGGCATGCCTAAGTCACCCAGATACTTGGGAATTTTCTGGCTCCTTCTACCAAGGACGGAGTATTCTATGGAGACGCGGGAGATTAGGTATAATTAGATTTTTAACAGGTCATCTCGGCGTAGTCCTCGCTTTTGTTCCTTGGCTTCATTGACCGCTTTTAGTGTTGATAGATACCCGATCAGTTAACTTGATTACCTCCAACTTCGCAGATCATTTAAACTGGCGGCGACTTCATTATGGTTTAGAGTTCCTTCATTTGTTGGTTCCTGTTAAAACACCAGCGGAGCAGCATCGGCGGGGAGCCTGATACAAACGCCTGGCATCCAATGTTAGGATATTGGGCTTCTTCTGTTTGATCTGGAATTTTATTTCGGGTCGTGTTCCTGGTTTAATTTCGAGCTGATGGTTCAAGAAACAATCTTGTTAACAAATCAGCAGCAATTCCTGTAGCCGGTAGATAAGCAACTGGCAACTTGCGACGGTGATAAACATCAATGACAACAAATCATGGCTTATGAAATAGATACCCTCCATCCAAGGGTGGTCTGACGGCCTGTCAGAGGCTGTCAGGCAACAACAAATGGTTATTTAACATATGTCGTCAAAGGGGTACCTCGTATCTGTAATATATCGTTACACAGCGAGAAATTTCGTATGTTGTATTGTAATATTATCCATCCAACGGTCACGTCCGGTATTGCTTGTCACATAGCCCACCGATCCTTATAATAATAATAATAATAATAATAATAATAATAATAATAATTACAATAATAACAATAAGCGTCTCCTTTCTTTGCGTTCCCGTTTCCCCAGGTTTCGTCAGAGTCAACAGTGCTAACTAGAAACAGTCTCTTAGCTTGCAAAAGCTGAAGGTCACTAAAAAACTAAGAAACGTGGCATTGTCGATAGGCATGGTTTGGCCGTTTTGAACCTCCGAAACAGTATAGCTACCTGCCGCGGCCATGAAACACATATACATTGCTTAACCCCGTCATAGAAACGTCGTATCGGCTCTGGGTGTCAGAGTGCGGCATAAATTTAGAATGGGAAAAGCACGGTTTATTTTGTATGCGCGGTTTACCGCCATAGAGAACACTTTAGCTTTCAAGGAAAGGAATAATAGTAATAAAAATCAAGTCAAATAAATAGGTGTAAAAATAAAGGCCAAATAGGAAAAAAACTGACCCCCCACTATTTGCTGGATGCCATTTCTGTCAAAGCATTGTTAGTTAAAGTTTTGAGGCTCAAGTCATGACATCATCACCGTCTCCGTTGCCTGTTGTTCTGTGCTAAATCAAGCCTAAACACGCAATGTTGTCGTATTTTCTGTAACGTCTATATTGATTCTTCCTGTATAGCTACTCCACACGCTGTATATTTCCCTTTTGGTCATCGGACACCTCTAGCTCTCCCCTTCGGAAATCCTCTTTTATTAGCCATTTTGTTGCTTTGCATGGTTTGAAATCGACTCTGGGCCTGAGTGGGCAGACACGGAGCGGGGCAAAAAGTTTCGGTGTCTGTATATCCTGAACAACTCATCATCAATAACATCGAAGACCCTGGTTGTTGGGCCGGAGGGGAGGGGGGGGAAGGAGGATAATTACCCCTCTGGATTCTGAGATACGAAGCCGCTCGGGATTTACCACTCAGCCAGGGGACCCATGTGAGGGCTGCCCCGCACTATGCTCTTCACATATGATTCTGCCCGCAGAAGCAAGCAAGAAGCGGCTGATGCCGGCTAGATGCAGCTTTCTTGATCACTATTTATTCAATATTATTTTTTTTGGGTTAATTTTTCTCCTATTTTTATTCAGTGGCTGGGATTCTGAAATAATACATCGGTTCAGAAACTAGAAATGGAAAACAGGGATGACAGAAATAGTCGTCTTCCAGGCTTTCTCCCAAAAGTCACTGATAACGTGTGTAATGTCCTAATAATAACATTTCAAATATTTCCCTGAACTTTTACAAACATTCGTTATGCACAATTACTTTTGCTGCTGCGCAGCCCTTTTTTTAACTGCATATCATCTTACGTCCTCTCTCTCATCCCTTTTAATCCCTCTCCCACATCAAAGGTATGATATACAGCACATATGCTACCCCCTCAATTAATCCACTTCTTCTTCGAACTCTCTCTGCTTAGTTCAATACACAACAGTGAGTGGAGAATAATGTCTCCAATTTATCACCTGTGTTAACAACACTGCCAATGCACACATGCATGTATGTCTATCCACGCGCACTGCGCACTTATATTCAGTTATATATATGTACATTCCCCTCCTGATTATGATTAATCATTGACTTCTCATAACCTGGAATCACCTCATTGATGTGAGACAGAGCCAGTAAGAATAGAATCATTCAATACTTCGTCCACAGTGCACCGTCAAATCATGGGTTGCTTCTGACCAACAAAAGAAGGTCTGTATGGAATACTCCGAACTAGCTCCGATCTCAAATACGATCTTCCCCCAATATCATGCGCTGTTTTGCAAAAGATGAATGCTTCATCCCAGCAAAAATGCAAGCATTCATGAACATCAAACTCATTACCAAATCAGCCACACATCTGTGTGCGCCACTTCTGCAAAACCAGAGAAGACTAGCCTATGAAATTCGTGCCCGGAAGGGTCCCGAGCGGCAATGTGCAGAATGAGGCTGCCACTTGATGTGACTCTCCCGCTCGCTCACGTTTTCTTAACCCTTCTCGTTTTCTCTTTTCTCCGTGCTCTTGATGATTCCATCACTCGTGTTGGATGATGTTTTCCTCCATCTCCTTGTATATCTTGTTTTGTTTCCCCGCATTGACGCATTTATTGCTTTGGAATCTTCAGCCTTCGGCACGAGAAGGCGCCATAAGGTAGCCATGACATGCATGAAACATTCTTGGCTGCTCCCTCAACAACCATGCTGGCAGCTCAACCAGGAAATGCGCACTGCTTTTCTGGAACTAGTCAAAGAAATTACATCGATGATGATGACATTGTATCCGCCGTGTACTCGTCAGCGACACACGTCTGAACCCTCTCCGGACATTCGTACACCCTGATCTCTGAATTCAGGTATTGAGGAATTGGGGTGTCATTGAGTTTGCCCTATTGTTTTTGTGTTCTTTTTGGCCAACCTGATGCTCCCCTTCACGAGGTTTCTCACCTCTCAAATCACTTGGGTCATTCCGTTTGAAGTATGATGATTGCAATAGCTCACAAGTGCAATAAAAATCTTACTATTAACAAATTTTTACATCTGACAGCGTCTATTATCCTTGTGAGGTTTCAGACTGAAGTTTCTGTTAAAATAAAGCCATGAGTGCTATGCTGTCATGGCTGTTGACACGGCCCACGTTGCTACATGGATTTTCTCAGCGGGTCAGTGCAAAGGACCAACCAGACAAGAAAAGGATCCAAACATCGTTCTAACTATGCAAGTTCTGGCCTGCCTGCAATAACACCAACCGATTCCAGTGGAA